AATTTCAAATGATTAGAGAGAAATAGTTTAATTTGAGCCCAAGGTATGATAAGAGAGAGCAAACGATGATATAAATATATTTGTACAAAGAGATCTCTCTGAACGTTATACGGGGTAATTAACCCATAGAAAATTACGATAGTGAACAACACAAAATACATTTTTGACAAATTATTCTTCTATATAGAACTACCTTAATATCACATTTCAGATAAACATGATGCGCTGTACTCTATGTGCATTTTAGATATTGATCATGGACAGGAAATTATTGCTTATCAATGATTTCTTTGTTAAATTATTGACATATAAATGCACAGAACAGAAATGTGACTCTTTTTGTAGTCAGAAGTTTTGGATATCATTTACTTTGTTGGTAGAATTACTGAAAAGTTGATAAACACTGATCAGCTATCCATAAACCACTTAACATACGGCTTATTTCATCTGGTACAGTTTTGTCATTTTAGCAACTGTGATATTGAGTGTCCTGTTGACTCTACATGTTTTAAATGGGTCCGTGTTTGGACAGTGAGGTTGTCTTCATTTAACATCTGTTTAGGACAAAATTGCTGAAAATTGAGAGAAATGTTTCCCTATTTACTTCAACAGTAGTCGGTATGGCAAATGACAATATATACATCAATCAATGGGAAAAAATTGAAGGAATCTTTATAGATATCATAGAAATCCTTGGTAATTGTTTTCTTTGTAATCTATATATTATGAAAATGTGTTTTCATTCAGAGTAAGTTGTGCTTTAAAAATACTTGCCACTAAGGGCCTTTGAGCAGTTACGGATTTTTTCGTGCGTACACCAACTAGGTCGAGTTTTGGTTGTCATACCAAGTGTTAGGTATTTGTTTTTATACTGAATTGACTACGGAGAAATCCGTCAACCTGAGCAATACATAGGGTTCATGGCTGGTGTAGCCGGTCAACAGGGGATGTTTCCTCCTCTTAGGAACCTGATCACACCTATAGAATTTCCAGGGGTCCGTGTTTTATGCTCCACTCACATATCTGTTGTTTTTGGATTACTGTTCCTTATCTTTTCCTTTTGCATGTTTCCAACATATGAAAAGATAAGGAATGTGTACTTTTGGTCAAGAATTCATTTCCCTTCCACATATACATATATTCCATAAAGAATTGTAAGAAAAGTTTCATAAAAGCACATTTTATCAACACAAAACACTATAGTACATATGAATATTGAGGCTCCAGGATAACCTAGATATTGCTTAACTAATCTAAGATTTAAGTTGTTTTTATATTGCTCATCGAATGTAAATAATTTACAAAACATATCAAAATTCGTGTGTGTGGTTATTGATGTTGCAAACACAGGTTCTTTCATCCACCATGTATAAAGAAAGATAACTCGTTTAAATATCTGCGTTGCTTATATTAAGCTTAAATTTTCAAACAAAGATAAAGAAGTTGTAATCACTGGTAACACTCTTAAACATATCAAAATTCAGTGTTGCATATCATCATATTTAATCTGAAATCTACACCCTGCATTTCCCTAATAGCATTTCACAACTTTTGCATCCAAACATTTTAATTATAAATATTTACATTTCGAATGTCTTTGTCCGAACTAAAATTACAAATTGTAAATGTACTTTATTTCCCCATCAATGTATTAGTTCATCAATAGGCGTGGTTAAAAAAATTCACGTGCAGGGCGGGACAGAAACAGGGCTTGGAGCACGTGGATTGGCGAAATCAAAAGCATGTAAATATAAGGAATAGCTGTCAGATTTTTTAATTTCATGACGATGATCAATCGATTGGCTTGCGTGCTAATTTTATGCAAAATTATCACGCAAGCCAATCGATTGATCACATCAAGAAATCGAAAAATAAGACAGTTATTCCTTAAACAAATGCTACAGTGCCTATAAATATTTACATTTCCAATGTCTTTGTCCGAGATAAAATTACAAATAGCTAATGTACTTTATTTCTCCATCAATGTACTGGTTCATCAATAGGCACGATTAAAAAAAATCACTTGCAAGGCGGGATAAATAGCCAGACAGAAGCAGGGCTTGTAGCACGTGGATTGGCGGAATCTAGAGCATGTAAATATAAGGAATAACTGTCAGATTTTTCAAATTTCATGACGATGATCAATCGATTGGCTTCGGCGTTTATGCAAATTATCACGCAAGCCAATCGATTGATCACATCATGAAATCGAAAAATCAGACAGTTATTCCTTAAATATTGATTATCTAAAAAGAAATTAGAACCCCGTTTTTAGCAGAATTATTATTTTGTATTAATAACATGAAGCAGAATTTATTAATAAGAAACTTAAATAAGAACGCATTTGTCGTGGCTTTCAATTAGACATACCGGTATATCGACGACGTATTATCAATATTTTAACAAAAGTTACTTCCATTCATTTGTTGACTCCGTATTTTCCAATGAACTTGAAATCAGATACCATGAAGATTTAAGGCTAATACAACTATTTCATATGTGGATACCGGTTATTTTACTTGAAAAACACATTGATGAAATAGGGATATCATTAATTTCGTTTAAGGTCAACAATTCGCAAGTTCTATAAAATAAGCAAGTCTATCGATAATCATTAAGTCGAATGTTTACTGGTGTTTTCTTACTTCCGTCAACCCAATAATGACTAATAGTACAGAGCAGATGTGACCGGTTTACAGGAATTGCTTACAACTCATGGGTACCTAGCCCTACCATGTTTTGTTTTGCTTTTTTTATTTGTTTGCTCTGCTCTCGATTTGTTTGCTTTAATAAACTTTTGAGCTTGATACATATGCCTTATCTCTTTAGTTTATTTTACACATTCTTGTATTTTTTCTTCCTTAACTTTGCCATACTGACTGATCTCATCCGTCGTGAACCCCTTTAAGTAGACGGAACACTCCGTTGTCAAATTAAGTGTCAACAACAAAAGTCTAACAAATGGTAGATAAATATCACCCAATGATAGTTCATATTTGCTAACAAGATCATTACGATGATCATATCATTTGCGAAATGCTGACTTTCCATGAAGTTGTTGAAAACCCCATACATAGAGCACACCGATTGCTTCAAAAGTATTTTTCTTAAGTACATGCAGGCTGCTTTGAAACAAATCGAAGTCATTTATCAAAATCCGTTTCATGACAACTTTTAATCTTGTGCCAATTTCTAACTGGCTTTTTATAACAGGTTTTTGACGGAAAGTTTTAGCTTTGTTTTTTCCTTTTTAAAAGTCATTAATTTAATCTTTTTCAATCTTAACTACTTTTTTTAAAAATTAAAAGTAAGCCTAAAAATATTAATTGTGTCTTTGTTAGACTTTGTTTCGATATTGCAATAAACAAGTAAGCTTAAAAGATTAAAGGCAATTAAGATATTTCATTTTTTGCTTATTATTTGTAAAATACATACCTGCATTCTTCTAAACAAGACCAATGAACACGTTTTTATCTTGTATGATTTCTATCTCCTCAAGGATAATGACTACTAGTATATAAGCAGACCACATTGCTTTTGAATCGTAACTCGTCATAAAGTCCTGCAAGAAAAACGTTCTTTTTAATGAACATTATACATGTAAAACATCAAACATTCTTGGTATGTTTAATTATATAATTTATCTTGATATATCTTATTGAAATTGCAATTTTACGTGAGTATAACTAGGGTAAATTAGTGAACATCATTACATAAGATTCTCATATCATCACTGTTTCATATTTGATGTATGATCACTGTCAAGATATTCATATGATTCTCATATACAGGGTCTTTCAATTCTCATATGATTGTAAATACATATAAATACATATGATTCTCATATGATCATCATATGAAAGGCGAATGTTGATCATATGACTATGTGCCTATGTATAATAACAAAATACAGTTAAAGCATAAGTTTACCTAATGGGCTGTATCACCCATACGTATTCATGAGAAAAAACTAAACATGTGTATAACATGTGAATATGAATACACATATATTTCATATAAATTAAACATGTATAATTCATCTGTATTTTCGCACACATATATTACATAATTATATATAACATGTGTTATAGATATGTGGTGAAAAACATGTGTTTAACATATATATTATCTCACAGGTGTATTACATGTGTATATTATACATGTTTTACATTTAAATGAAACACATATTTTACATGTGTTTATTTACACACATGTACATGTATTACATGTGAAAAACATGTGTTAAACACATGTGAAACCAAACACATGTTTAACACATGTGGACATTTTTCCTGTGTATACCCCCGAATCTTCGATTACGGGGGCATGAATATGAAAATCTGCAATCAACCATCTTTGCTAGCGAAGGGTATCTGAAACGCTACTCTCCTCATAATTGTTACTTGATTACTCATTACTGTCCGCAAGAAGATAACAATCAGCGAAAGATAACTCTTAAAACACATGTGAGCAGTGACCAAAAATGCAAAAGAACCTAAGTACACTACTATTTTAGTATTGAATTTCTTTTTTTTTTTAATCTCTTGATTAGGCTAAATGTTTTAATAAATATTTTTTGACGTGTCTTTATTGTGACGTCACAATAGAACCCATTGCTTATTGTGACGTCACAATAGAAACATTTGTTTCTTCATCCTAATCACAAAAGTATTGTGGTAAGAATCAAACCGATTCTTCTTATTGTGGACGAAACACATCTCTGTTGTTTGTAGTTGGATATATCTGAGATATCGGATCAAGGTAAGATTTAATTTTTACATTGCTGTGTCAATCACCAATGTTAATTAATTCTAAAATTGGTCAGCTCGGGGCATTTGAAATCTCGTAAGTTTCCGATCTTGATTGTCAGTATCTGACTTAACTTGGTCATACACATAGAAACTTTTAATCTTATATACATGTATTTAGTTTTTATTCAAGTAATTCTTAATGTTCCTTTTTTGTGTAGATTTCCTTTAAAAAAAATTTGGTTGGTTAGAATGGATCAATCTTCTAGTGTGGATAAGTCTCATTCAGGAGATGCTAAGGTATGTATTGTACCACTGATCTTGATTGACTTTAATATACATGTATCAACACAGTGGCATTTCGTACCGTTAATTCTTAGAGATATCATTAACTGCAAAACCTATTAAGTATTTCATTTACCAATTATCCATGCGTACTGGATAAAACTACCGTTAATTTGATTGTATTATTAAACAAAAATTTCTGTTGTCATTTATGAAAACGGTAAATACCTTTTATACAGTTGATTTACTAATGTATTATTGATAAATATAAATATTAGCAAAATGAAGAAGACGAGAAAGACAGTCCTCCTCCGAAGAAGGAACTTGTATGTACACAACAGACAAACGATTTATCAATTATTTGCTTTTTTCAAAATAATTTCAATTTTGTTTCTAAAAATCATGTATGTTAAATAACAACTGATGTCAAATCAGTCAACCTATTTGTGTATCTGTGTTCATGTATCTAAAGCTGATTCATAAAATAAATTTTTGTGGTCTAGGGTACCAAAGCTTCCATGATGATTGTAATGGTGGAGCATGATGATACGGACGATGAAGATGAAGATGACATTCCAAGAGAATTGGATCAGGCTGTAAGATCACTCATTTTGATAGTCTTGTCCATATCTTATTTTTTTATTGCTATAGAAATTGAAAGGCTTATATACCAATAAAAAAAATGTGTTTCAGACTCTGTCCAGAATGTGCATGCTGCCTGAAGAAATAGTCTTGAGAGAAAAGGTATTAATTAAAAATCGCTTTATTTTGAATATACTAGTACATCTATTTTCATGTAATCCTGCACATCTAATATTTATATTTCAGGCACGAAGACTTTCCGAGATAAGCATGAAGGAGGCTCAAGCCGAAGCATTTCTAGAAGATGAGGTTAATCATGCTGAAGTTCGATAACTGATTCTTTCATTTTTGTCTGCTCTAGTGTAATTTATGGACAAATAGCACAAACAAAAATATACAGAGATGCCTTGAATGATATGCATTTTTGCCTGTGTTGTAAATGATGTTTCTATGATGTTCGAAATTTTAACCTTTTCATTGGCAATAAATCTTATCAATTTAATAGTATTTCATTTTTTGTCACTTCAAATCCCATTATTGTTAAACTGAGAATGAAAAATTAAAAACTGTAAACTTATTCATTCATTTAATCCCAAGTAATTGTAACTTAAGTTGTTTGTATCAACAAACCTTCAAGATAATAAATTTAAAGTACACAATATTGATTAAATCATTAAAATGTTCGTTTTGTTTTAAAATTTTACTTTATATTAATTTTTTTAAATTTGTTTTACTGACTTTGAAAAGTTCTTCATTTACAGACCAAGAGAATGTCTTTGATTGCCGTTTATTCCGCATTTTCTGCAGCTGTATCAGAAGAGATTCGCCAAGCTAAACGCAAGGTAAGATATAATGTGTAGAACTTTTTAATTTAAATTACGTTATATTTTGTTTTCTTTAAATCCTTTTGAGCTATTAAGCAAATCAATAACTCCATTATATTTTTTTTTTTCATTTCAGCCAAAATTCTTCAGGAGAGTCTTTTCTTGTTGCTTTTCCTGTTTTGGTAGAAGGCGTCGTTAATTTTTTTTTATGTATAATGTTGTATTTTAGTTGGTATTTTTTGTAATAAAATATTGAAACTTTTGTAATTGTTATTCTCAATGAATATTTCAAATGAAGAAAACAAGAAACAACAACAACGTTCCTAAAAAATCAACTTCGCTAGCTTTTTATTGGTGGAAAAATGAAATAAGAAATTTTTTGCCTTCAAGTCTTTTGTACAAAACAGACATTACATCAACCTTGATAAACCTTACAATTCTAAGGCTGTGAATTAAGGCATTTCATCAAGAAACAAAAACAAATCAATTTTTCTTTTCAAAAAAATGATGCACAGCACCTCAATAATTTATTAACATTTTTTAATGAGAAATTTATCACAGAAAATCCATCATGTCAAGTCACGTGCAAAGTTATGGGTTATTTGTTACCACTGTATCACGTAATAATAGCGGGCGAGGAAGGAAGGGACAGACACCTTCTCCAGAAACATATTGGAACAAAGCTGCCGGGCAATCTGCAATTTTTAATGAAAAATTTACATTTGAGTGTACAACTAATAAAAGTACTCCGATGAACAAAAGAAAATAAAAAATTTTTAAAAAAAAAGGATATTTCCAAAAGCTGGACGTCTATTTACCACAAAGCTGGTGGCAGTGCATTCCACAAAAATTCCCGATTTCGTTCCTCCTAAAATTGCATCTCCTTTAAAAAAGGATACGGGAGAATACTTTGGAATGGACGTACAGTCGCTCATTATCTGAATAAAAGTGTCATTTGAATTTTTTATGCAGTATGACGAAATTTTTAAACATATATGTTATGGAAGCAAGCTACTAGTAAAAATAGCATACTTTTAGGTTATAAAGAAATTACCATTATCGTTTAAAATGAATATATCATGAAAAATTGTGGCAGATAATATATTTTAAAAAATATATGAGATTTAAATGTTATAATCTGTCATGCTCACGTGCGCTTGGCGTTTCCATTTTTTCACTTCCGGTGCCTTGCAGTACGCCATAACGACACCCTCCTCGTCTGCTATGGCGGAGTTCGGACAATGGCGGGAATCTGCATTGAATACCGTGGACATCTGAGCGATACCTTTCTCAAGTCTAACTCCGTCACATGTACCTAAATGTGTTTGACAATATAATAATCAAGATTGAAAGCCTCTATTTTTATAATTTTCAAAACAATGATTCAGTAGTTTATTGAAATACAAACATAGCCATGACAGTTTAAATTTTTAAACATTAAAAAATCATGTATCTATAATAAGTCATGAAAGAAGATAATTTACTGCTTTGAATAGGTTTAATCGGTAGTATAGGGACTGTTGGTAGTGTGACCCAGACTATCGGCCGTGGTGTTGGTTGCGGGGTAGAATGAGGAGCAGCTGGGGTAGGGAGAACCAAGCCTGTATAAATATCGAAGTTCACAAAACAGCTTTAGAGCAATACATTTCTTTTAACGTTAGATATTCACGTTTATATATACGTCCCGTAAAATTTTATGCTTCGTATCAAAATCTGATTGACGTACCTGCATTCCTCAGCACATTAGAAGCATTCCGTCAATCAATTACAAACATCATCTTTGAGATTAAATTCAATAAATATTTACCAATATGATTTTACAAGCGGCATTTTAATGAATGTATACGTCTGTGAAAGTTCTTAATATATGAGAAAGAGCAAAATCCCAGATCAAAGATTAAAAGGATTCCATGGTATTTCCTGTTCTTACACAATAAATACAGTTTCTGTATAAAATTCATTTAATATCTACCTGGTATAGCTCCAATCTGATGAACACACTTGGTAGACTTCACTATATTATCTGGAAGGAACAAAAACCAAAGAATGAAATAGTTTGAAGTCCAAGTTATTTGCTGCAAATAACTAATATTGGTTAAGAACTGCCTTGAATGATATACATGTAACTTCATAAATTATTAAATATGCCATTGTACCCAATGTGCGTCTATTGTATATTAACCCTGGTTCTTTACTGGAAAAGGTTTTACGTGTAAATACGTGTACAACGTATAGCCTTTGTTTAATTGCTTCCACCTATACAACATAAAATTACATTCCAAACTACATGTATATACATACGGACGTTGAATGAAAGAGTTCCAGGACACTGCCTGTCCAAAAATCCTGAATCTTTTTGCATATAGCCAAGCTAAAAGGAAGAAAAGATAAGCATATTAATTCATTTGTGAAAGCCTTTTGTTCTGCGCGTTTTGAAGACGCTTCTGAACTTTTGAAATACAGTAAAACTCGCTTATATGGAAATCGTAAATAAGGAAGTCTTGCTTATAAGAAAGATATATCTTTTTGCCATTCTTTATATCAAATTGAACGCTTTCTTATAAGAGATATGAGGAATTTCGGTGCTTAATCTTTTCTTTATAAGCAGTTTTAACTGTATATATATACATGTATGTGGTATAATAATAAATACAATAATAAAATTACTTTTTAAAATAAGAGAACAAAGTTAACAATAAGACTTAAAACATTATCAGGAAATGCTTCATCAAAGAACGTAACGTCTTACCTTGTTCAAATTATTGCTGTTGTAATAAATGGCTACCCAGCCATCTGGAGCCTGCGCATTAAAAGCAGCTACACAATGGGGAGAGGATAGATCCACGTAATGGTCCGTGTTTTCTGGAGGATAGATGATTCCAATCACCTGACTGGTCCGACTGGGACATTCGTACAAAAAGGACCCATATGGATGCAAAAAGTTGCAAAAGCATAGAAAATTGGCTGATGCTCTCTGCAAAATGGTCGCAGAAAATAGGAATAAAACTTTCATTTCCATTTCGAATGTTTATGCATGCAGTTCCAAAAAGTCTTTTCTATTTAAAGAGACGACAGGCTTAAGATAGCTCACTGAAGATTTGTTACCAAACAACCCGGATCTTCCAAATCTCACATAACGTCACACAAGACTTCAAAAGGGGTCGACAGAGGAAGATTTGGAAACTTGGGTAAGAATTTGCACTAAGATACGGGCCTAATCTTGACCTTCTATCACCTATATATTCCCTCCAGACAACCTGACTCCTGTGTGTCAGTGAATTTTAAATACAAAATTCCCCTGGAATTTCCGTATTTATACTATCTCCCAACTCATGCTAGATTAATGATTTACTTTTGACCTTGGAAAAGATGGACCCCAAAGAATGCATTCACACTTATTACTTCATATAACCGATAGCGTCTCTAAAACGCAGTAAACATTCATACAAATAGTTTCTTATTGTCCCCCGCTTTCGCGAAAGCGAGGGGACATTAAATCTCATTCGTCTGTCCGTCTGACTAGCTGTCCGTCCGTCACAAACTTTAACCTTGCCCATAAATTTTGATTTAGTGGAGCTATGACTTTCATATTTCACAGGTGTATTCCTTGTGACAAGACCTTTAATTTCTTTGGGTACCATCAAATTTGACCTTTTGACCTTGACCTTGGAGTTTGACCAACTTTTACACAAAAATTCCAAAATTTTTAACAGTAGATACTAAGACTTTATATTTCACATATATATTCTATGTGGCAAAACCTTTCATTGGATACCAACAACTTTGACCTTTTGACCTTGACCTTGGAGATTTCCGTCCTTATGAAAAAACTTTAACTTAGCCATAACTTTTGAACGGTAAGGGCTAGGGCTTTCATACTTCACATATGTAATCCTTGTGAAAAGACCTTTCATTGGATACCACAAACTTTGACAATTGGACCTTGGAGTTTGACCTTCTTTTTAAAAACAAACTTTGATCATAACTTTTGAAGAGTTAGGGCTAGGGCTTTCATACTTCACATATTTAATCCTTATGACAAGACCTTTCATTGGATATCAAGAACTTTGACCCTTTGACCTTGAACTTGGAGTTTGACGTACTTTTTAAAAACTTTAACCATGGCCAATACTTTGGAACGGTTAGGGCTAGGGCTTTCATACTTCACATATGTAATACGTGTGACAAGAACTTTCTTAAGAAACCAACAACTTTGACCCTTTGAACTTGGAGTTTGACCTACCTTTCAAAAACTTTGTGGTGCTAGGGCTTTCATATTTCACAATCATATTTCTTGTGAGAAGACCCTACTTTGGGTACCAATATATTTAATTTGCATTTAAGAAAAGTTTAATCTTTAGTGGATTCTTTACTATGTTGCCATATACGGGGTCATCAGTGTTTCACAAACACATCTTGTTCCTTATATTGAAAATAGGTAGGGCTTTCATATTTGACTGGTCCATTACCCGTGACAAGATATTTCCGAGCATGTGATGATTTTTTCACCCCTTGACCTTTTTTTTTTTTTTTAGCTTTTTCTCCAATCTGCAACCGACATCCCTTGAGTTTAATAATGGGGTAAGATTTTGTTATTGTAAAGTCTTGTGAGTCTTTATCGTTAACTAACAACATAAACTGTGTCGAGTATTTTGAAAACGTTATCAAACTAATGGGTAGTTTGTCTTAGGTCGACCTCGACAACAAGAAAATGATGAACTTAAGAAATTAAACCAAAACCACTAACACGTTAAAAAACGAAATAGGATTTTTTTTTGTGCCTTGTCAGATACAATTCTTTATCATCCATTAAAGGATCTTTCAATTCCCAGGCTCTCAGACGATAAATTAGATCCTGCGCGGTAGTGAGAAATCCAAGTCAATGTTCAAGGTAAGCCATATTTGTTTTTTTGTTGTTGTTGTTTTTTTTAGATGTTCTAGCGATTTTTTGCAATAAATGTTTTCTTGATATGAATTTGGACAACACAAGTGTATGTGTCCGGATAGGGTCATTTTCTAAAGCGCAACATCGCGTTCAGAAAAACACGCTGTCGCGCTAACACACAACTTGCCGTGGCGCTATCATAACATTGAACAACACGCTGTCACACTAACTCGAGTTCACACAACACGCTGTCGCGCTAACACACAACACGCTGTCACGCTAACTCGGTTCGCACAACACGGTGTCGCGCTACCACACAACACGCTGTCGCGCTAACACGCTTTCCAGCAACAAGTCGTCGCGCTAACACACAACATACCGTTAGCGTGACAGCTTGTTGTGTGTGAGGAACTCGTGTTAGCGTGACAGGGTGTTGTTCAATGTTGCGATGGCGAGTTGTGTGTTAGCGCGACGGCGTGTTGTGTGTCAGTGCAACGGCGTGTGTTCCTAAAAGCGCTGTTGAGCTTTAGCAAATGGCCCTATCTGGACACCATGCATATGAGTCACCAGATTTAAAATTGTCTAGAAATCTGTTGTTGTTTTTTTTTAATAAGAACATGTTTTTAAAAAATCCTTTGTTTAAAAAGTCATTAATGTTTTTAGATGTCACTGCTTCGAGTGTTCATATTTCTGTTGGTGTGTGTCGTTGTCAGTAGTGGCCTCTTGTCGAATCATCACCATAAAACGCACCATGCAACTGTGCACACAACCGTCAAACAACCAATAACTCCAAAAAACACACGGTCGACAACTCCTGCACCAACACGATCGACAACTCCGCAAGCAAAGCATGCCTGTATTTGCAATACAAACCACCCTCAGTTAGACATTTTCCAATGCCCTAACCGTACCAGCCAGATTATTGGGTTTCTGTACCTACAAGACACCTCCTATTCAATGGATTTAAGTTCCACTCATTGCAAAGAGATAGCCTCGTTTGTTTTGTCGCCAGATGGCTGGTTTCCGGTCCTTCACTTCGGGCAGGTTTGGAACTTTTTGCATGTTAAAATTTTTTTAATAGATATTCGTTTTTAAAAAAATTAAAGAATAAGAAATAAGTTCCTTAAACCTTCTTGTTACTTTATCAAAAGTCTTGTGTTGGAATCACAGCCGCGACTTTACCTACCTCGACAGAAAAATAGGCAGCAACTGTTCCTTGGCGCTGGGCACTTGGAAGGGAAATTGCATTGCAGGTCTTTCGCACGAGGCCTTTAAACCGAAGCCCCTTGTGTCACAGTGGGCGTTGGCACGACAAAAAACCCTCAATGGCCCTGAGTGCCGAGTTAAGGTCTAAATCTGAAGCTCTCGCCGGATTATGTGGTCAGACATCTCTTTATGAATAAAAAATAATTTTCGAACGGGACAAAAAATAACATTCAATTAATCATAGCAAATGAAATAATAGAAAATTGACCTTACAAATGAAAAATCTGAAGATAACGACCAATGATCGAACTCAACCAGTCTTATTATACCAAATATGTGATGAGGGCAAAAATATGAACATTCGGAAATTTGAGAGGTGGGATCAGGTGTCTTTGAGAAGTAAACATTACTTTTATTATTATCCAAACAAAAAAATATGTTTAGATTTTACATCATTAACTAACATATTTTTTAAAAACCCTATTACATGTATATAGAATTCTTTAAGATGACATTTTTGTATGTGGTCACGTTTTCAGTTTAATTATTGTATTATCCAAACATTGTTGGACATTCTTCAAGGTTTTTTTTATCCCCTCTAAAGATGGGATCTCTCTCTCTCTCTCTCTCTCTCTCTTTGTCCCACTCTCCTCTCTCTCTCTATCAAATGTTCATTCTAATGAATTTTCTTGGGAAACAGGTCGGTTACATAAGACAAGACACTGGGACTAGCGTACAAAAGTGCCCCGGAGCAACGACTTCTTCTAAAGGTAGGGTTAAAAGAAGATTCTTTTTCATGGCCTATAGGTCCTTTTGTATTTTACTATACCTACCTTTTATGATATTTCTAATTTTATGATATTTCTTTTCTTTTTGGAGGTTTTACGGCGAAACCATGCCAGTCGTTCTTTTTTCTTTCGAGTAGCCCAGGTAAGGGTCTAGTTTGGAAGTAAATTATTTTCATACAACTCTGTCGTTTCCATAAAAGCTATTGCATTTGATTTATATACTTTATCAATGTATTTTTTTTAATTTTTTTTTTCATTTTCAATCAAATCATTCCCTGTTTTTCAGATGTCTTACTTTGTAAAGTAAAATCGAGGCCAATAATTACATTATTAAGCCCCAATAGTTCCTGTTACAGTTTAAGCTCGCTGGGTTCTTAAATTATATAAATGTGAAAATAATTCTGGGATGAGGAGGAAAGGGGGAAGGGGAAGGATGAGGAGAGAGAGAATGATGGAGAGGAAGGAGATGGGAGAGAGAGACAGGGAGGGGAAGAAAGGGGAGGGGAAGGATGAGGAGAGAGAGATGAATGGGGAAGAAGCAGAGAGAGCGATGGAGAGAAAGAGGATGGGAGAGAGAGATAGGGTGGGGAGGAATGAGAAGGAAAGGGGGAGAGGAAGGATGAGCAGAGAGAGGGGGATTGGGAGGAGGCAGAGAGAGGGTAGAGAGGAAGGGGATGGGAGGGAGAGATGGGGAGGGGAGGAATAACAAGGAAAGGGGGAGGGAAAGGATGGGAGAGAAAGAGGGATGGGTAGGAGGTATAGAAAGGGATGCAGGGGAAGGGTGTGGGAGGGAGAGATTGAGAGGGGAGGAATGAGAAGGAAAGGGAAAGGATGGGAGAGAAAAAGGAATGGGGAGGAGGCAGAGAGAGGGATGGAGGGGAATGGCATGAGAGGGAGAGATAGGGAGGGGAAGGATGAGAAGGAAAGGGGGAGGGGAAGGATAAGGAGAGAGAGGGGGAAATGGGAGGAGGCAGAGAGAGGGAATGAGAGGAAGGGGATTTGATGGAGATGAGGGATGAGGACGAAAGGGGAAGGATGAGGAGAGAGAGAGAGAGAAAGTGGGATGGGGAAGATAGAGGAGGATGGGAGGAGAGAGAGAGAGAGAGGGATGGGGAGTGAGGGATGAGGAGGAGAGATATATATGGGGATGAGAGGGATTGGAGGGAAAAGGGATGGAGAGGAGAGGGATAAAGAGGAGAGAGAGGGAGAGGAAATACAGAAAGAATGGGCAAAGATTAAGTAGGAGAAAATTTCGGTATCTCTAACCTGTGACAACAAAATATCACAAGGTTTGAAGAGTGTAATGTACTCATCATTAAACGCACTTAAGTTTATCTGCTATATATACAGGCAACTGGCTAGGTAAAAGCAAAAATCAGTTCAGTATTGAAAAGTTTGAATATAAACTTGGGTTCAGTGAAGGGGGTATTTGAAGAACCTTAAGTCTACACTTCATAAGGATGCTTTTGAATTAATATGATACATAATGGCTATGTTGTTTATAAGATGAAAAATTTTATTGATAAAACCTTTACATTCCTCTAATGGCTCCTCTCTTCTCCCAATTGTCACAATGTGAACAAGTTTAAGTTTACATTACCTTTTTTATGCTTTTACGTTGATGATCAATCATGGCTTTGTTGTTAATGTGAAGAATTTTAACTACTTTTCCCATGTATTCCTACGTAAAACCTTGATCACCTACTGTTGTCCCATTCTCCCCCCCCCCCCCGGGGGATCATGATTTGAACAAACTTAAATCTACGCTACCTTTTTTCATACTTCCATATAACTATGACCAACCATGGCTTTGCTGTTCTTGAGAAAATTTTTAAAGATTTTTTCTATGCAATTCTACTTTGATCTCCCATTATGGCCCCATACTTGCCCTGGGGGGTCTTGATTTGAACAAACTTGAATCTACACTAACAGAGGATGCTTTCATATAACTATGGCCAATCATGGCTTTGCTGTTCTTGAGAAGAAAATTATTCCTGTGTATTCGTATGTAACATTTTGATCCGATGTGCCCCTATCCTAACAAGGGGATCATGATTTGAACAAACTTGAATCTACATTATCAGATGATGTTTCCATATAATTATGACCAATCATGGGTTTGTTGTTTCTAAGAAAAAGATTTTTAAAGGTTTTTCCTTTACATTCCTATGCTTAACTTTGATACATGTACCCCATTAAGGCCCCACCCTACCCCCAGGGGTCATTATTTGAACTAACTTGAATCTTCACTACATGACTTTGCTTCCACATGAGTTTCATTTTCCTGCGCCAGTGGTTCTTGAGAAGATGATTTTCAATAGATGCCATTTATTTTTCACTAATTCACAATTATATCCCTTTGGAAGAGATGGTGGCCTTTCATTTGATCAAACATGAATCCCATTTACTCAAGGATACTTTTTGGCAAGTTTGGTTGAAACTGGCCCATTGTTCTTGAGAAGAAGATGAAAAACAACAACGCCAACGACGAAAGACAACGAACTTGATCAAAAAAGCTCACTTGAGCCTTCGGCTCAGGTGACCTAAAAACTAGTCCATGATTCAAACTAACGTGAATTTGGACAAATTAGTTATGCTTGCATATAAAAATGATTAGTCAATTGTTCTTTGGGAAAAAAAGTATTTAGAAATAAGATTACTGGATATAATTATATTTGACTGATGTTACGAACAAACTACATATTTACCCCTCTCTTTATATAAAGTACCTAGCAGTACTTCAGCTCATCATGCACCATCTACTACTCCAAAATTACTGACTACGACGACAACGACTAAAAGACACACTAGTGTTTCTACCACTATGAAAACACCAGCCATGTCAACTACCACAACTAAACGACCACCAACAAGTACTACTGCTAAACAACATACTACCAGCACCAAAGGATCAACTTCATCAACAGGTTTCATTACATGAATATTGTCAGCAATACCGGTATTTGAAGGTATATTACACAGAATGCAATAATTTTAACGAGTGATTTTCTTGTTGCAGTTGACCACGTTTGCAATAGCCTTGAAACTGTACTTGAACTTGGCAAACACGAACCAGTTTATCATGGGCATGCACGACAGTGCCCATCGGGTGACTCCAGGAACGAGGCTGTTGTGATGAAATTCTGCTTTGCCCCAGAGCCTTCATCGTGGATCCAAGGAAGACGGGTAAATATAACACACACAAAAAAAAAACACACTATACGAAAGAGGTACTGCATGTGAGCACTTAACTCACAAAGTGAGTTATTAGTATTTTAGCATTTTGTTCTCCGATCAGACAGTTCGATATGCTAATACATGTAATAGACTTCGCCAAAAAATATTGTAGAAATTACACATGACATTGTAGATTAGAATTCAGTGAAAGTCTCATACAATGTAGGAGGTTGCAGATCAATTCCCCAATATGAAATAAAGAATGACACTGTGTTTTGCTTTAGGGCACCCATAGCATCTGTCCAAACATTACAAAATGTAGAACATGAGAGGCACAATGCAAAAAAAGATTCTTTATGCAATATTGGTGATCAGGTACAGTTTTATATTTCTATAAAATCCTTATAGTACGATTATCAGTTAACCTTGGACTTTCAGTAGAGCGTGACTTTCTCGACACTACGTAATTAACGTCTCTCAAATGGCGAGTAGATTCTCATTGGTTAAGAAGTTAATAACATCAGGAACTTTATATTGTTGTTGACAACGATGAGACGACTTAAGCCCCACCTCCCTGTCTTGCGAAATGCTGTGATTGGATCATTGACACACTAGTTGGCATTTGCCGAAATGTATATTTCAACAGTGAATGAAAAGCTGTGTAAATTCCAGAGGCTGATTATGTAACGTCGAGAATACCACGCCTTACAGAAGGTCCAAGGTTAACTGAGAATTGTACTAAGATCTGAGTCAGTGGTATAGAAGGAGTTATGGATAAGAGATGAGTACTAGTATCCCAAGTGTTACCGACAAAGGAAAGGAGTATAGATTAACGAATGGACACCCCATCATATGTCCCTGAGCTTTTCAAGCAAGGGTATTCAGAAGTACAGAGAGCTGGGCTAATTTTAGTCCAAAAAATCTAACGTTTTCCAGGCTTTTTTATTATTTTGATATGTTACGTGCCAGGAAAAAGCCTGAAAACGTCAGATGTTTCGGACTAGGCTCATTAGTCAACAATAGCCGGATTTTGCACTTCGATCAAGGAATCAGGCTTAAAAGAATCAGTCAGAAACAAAAAATAAGACCAAAATGTGCTATAAATGTTAAAGTATACAGTCATGTAGTGTGATTTATGTGTCGTGGCTGTGAATTAAGGGTATCGTGCCCTTAGGAAGCAATGTCATTGGGGGGGGGCACAACCATATATTTTTATTTAAGGGCACTCTGAACTAATCAACTAAAAAAATTCCGTGACCTGCAAGGTCATAATACTTTAATGTTGAGGGGACACAAGCATACTGTAGTTTTAGACAGTATTCTATATATCGGCAAAATGAGTGCCCCTTCCCCCGTAATAATAAAAATATAAACATTTTTTCGAGGACCAAAGTATCAATTAAATTAATGAAATACATCCTATTACTTAAAATCATGTCTTTTTCTCTGCAGGTACTTGATCACTGTTCCGACATACCACCCTACACACCTATAAATATGTATGGATTTGGCACCAACATGTTAATATCTGGGATATTTATTAAATGTACCAATGCCACAGAGTTTTCGGTAATTTTTTTTTTATTATTACGAGGGTTGTCCCAAAAAGTCGTAGACAATGTTAACTTTTTTTAAAACGCAACCAATGCTAACCAAATTTTGTATAATCATAATACATTCAATGTTCTTTAAAATTGTGAATTCTTAGATATATATCGTTCATATTAATTATATTGGGACGATTTATATGAAGGTCGATATGGTCTGTCGGCGCACGACCAAAATTCGGAATAATTTACGCATATAACTATTACATTTGCTTTTATTTCTTTGGTACTATGTAAAAGATTGAACTAAAATTTAAATCAATGAAACCAGAATCAAAATTTTAATAATATGTCAAAATTTCATATAAATTGAATTAGAAACAGACGGCTAATGACATGATTTTCAATGTCTTGTTGGAATTGAGATTGATGAAAATGACGTCGTCGAACGCGTACCCGGCGAACGGAAATGTAATAAATTGTTTTTGGTATGTTTTATATTCATCCGAGACAGGGGAAAAGAGTACAGAAAGGACATTACACACTAGATTTTAAGAGGAAAGTTGTTTTTAAATAGCATGAGATTCAAAGATAGTTTTTCCTTTATATCGAAAACAATAGTTATTGCATGTAAGAAGTAAAGTACTGTTTGTTAAACGCAGACATTTGGGAACGTTCTGGGCCATGAACGTCATCAAACAAGGTGTATTCTCTGCTGCCTAAAATGTAAGGTGATCTTTCAACTAAATTTTGATTAAAATTTGAATCTGCCTTAGAAAACGGACAGTAGTGAATATAAATAAGTCCTTTAGTCAAAAATGGTTTTTCACTATAAAAAATATTCATTTGGATGTTAAAATCCGCATGTGAAGCAGAAAAAAGAGATCATGACGTCATGAGAAACGTAAATTACGCTTGCTTTCGTGCGCCGATGTACACTTACATGGTTTCTTTATTTTTTCATAGTTTTCTTATTAAATGTGGTATTGTCATGAAACTTGAAATGCATGATCATAAAATGCTACTTTTTGCTATGACAAGAAAAGAAATATGATTTAGCAAAGAGAAAATAAAGTATGTTCCCTGTCTACGACATTTCGGGACAACCCTCGTATTATTCAAGGAAAAGTGGTATTTTTATTCGTATTAGTTTCTCTTTCTATAAAAAGGTGACTAAATGTTTCAGCCCATTTAAGATAATTAATTAGGAGTTTTTAAAAAGAAGTGACAGCAAAATTCTATTGATGTGATAAAATTCAGACTTCGTTTAATTTTAGATTTTAAGTTGCTTCTTTGGTTTGCCCACATTGTATTTAAACTTTGATAATAGCTTGGGGAAAGAATTCCCAATTTGGGAACATATTTTTCTTAGTGGATTATCGATTGATTTTTTTTTTGACAGATTATTCATCAACAGGATTGCTCCGGTGGACTCCACCTGGAATCCATTAACGTGTTGGCGGGCTCTGGGATGTTTTATGTCATCCATTGGTGAAAAAAGTTGAAAACCAGTGAAAATTTTAAATAAAATTTCTGGCAGCCGTTTTCTTTATCATAATAAATTTTGAAAAATAAAAATATTTTGATTTGTTTGCAACTTAAATACAGCTAATTTCCATGGTGCAAAATATAAAGCTCGGCGTTTTAAAAATTTCTCAGAAATTTGGCAGTAGAAAAAAAATTCAAATGTCAAGTAGCATTGTTTAAAGCAAATATATTTGAATTTTGAATGTAACTTTTTTTTTGCATTTGAAATAAACGCCAGTTATCTTTCTTTTTACACTGTATTCAGAGTTGTAAATTCTGTATAAACTGTCACCTGATAAATTCAAAATTTACAAATTACCACATTCCCTTTCAAGAAACATTGTGAGGCCCTGTCCTACCACAGGCATCTGATGTATGCATACCCCCTCCAATAAAAAGAAACATAAAGAGCGTTTAATTTCTTTTTTTTTAATGAAATTTCTCTTGTGGTATCTATCACAGGCACTTGTTTCGGAAATAAATTTTTAACCTACAGTATAATAATAACAGAAGGTATCTAACTCCGAATTACATCGAATACCCCCTCCTAAGAAACGCCACGCACTCATTTTCACATTCAGAGAGAATGCACAGGCAAACTGTTTATTACCATTGTCTTCTACGATAATTTATCTATACAACCATATATGGCATGCATGTCTTTGTTTTCGCTTATCTCCGTAAACAGCGTCCAAACTCTGCTCGTCGAGTGGAAAAGTCGACTCAACCATAAAAACGGTATATGCCGATCCCGCAGAGATTTTGATTGGCTAAAAATCTGTTTCTAAAATTACGTCGGATAAACATCGTAATGTTTTCAGGGAAAATCAGACCTAAACAAGTTTTATTTACTAACTGCTATGGCACGCCAAATTCACAAAAATGAGCTAAACATAGTTTCACAGTCGATAAACTTGGTTTATCGGTTGTAAACTATAGTTTACGGACTGTAAACTATAGTTAACAACGTTAATCTATATTTTACATCCGTGAACTATAGTTAACGCGATAATCTATGTTTCACAACCGTAAACTATACTTAACACTGAAAACAATCATTTGCGATTGCAAAACATAGATTATCTGATAAATACAGTTTCACGATTTGTAAACTATAGTTTACAAACCGTTAACTATAGTTAACGATCTGATAAATATAGTTTCACGATTTGTGAAACTATGATTAACAACTCTTAACCATAGTTTACGATTGTAAACTATAGTTTACAAACGTGAATCTATGTTTATCAACAAAATCTATTGTTAACGCTTATTACAGACAGATAAACTTAGACTATCATTCGTAAACTATAGTTAACAACCGTTAAATATAGTTTTACAGATGAAAACTATACTTAACGAATCGTTAACTATACTTCACGAATCGTTAACTATAGTTTACGGTTTGTAAACTATAATTTACAGTCGATAAACCTAGTTTATCAAATGTGAAACTAGGTTTATCTCATTTTTGTGAATTTGGCGTGCCATACACTGCAATATCTAAACACTGGAGATGAATTTTTAAGCCCTGTTACAACGCACTTTGAAAAATTACGCACTTTGAAAAAAATTTTCAAAGTGCGTTAAAATTTGGGACCAAGCTTACGCACTTTGAAAAAAAATATTTTTTTTCAAAGTGCGTTAATATCGACCATATTAACGCACTTTGAAAAAAATGTAAAGATTGATCAATATTCCTTCAAATAATCGGTATGATAAATAACAGATCCTGGTTTGATAATTTTTTTTTATGATAAAGTCAATGTAGGACCTGAGATATTGACGTTTTAACAGTATTTAAAGTTTTGATAAAATAAAAGGGAAAATTAAAGGGTATTGAAAAAAAGAGTGACGATTGTTTATGTTCATTAATTCGTTTCTTCTTTTTTTTTTAATTCAAGTCTTTGATAAGTAGATGTAAAGGTGTATAGGGGGCACTAACAGAAGACAGCTTCAAGCAACTTATCATTTATCATAATAAAAAGGGGCCAATTTGATTGTTCAAAACTATAAAAATTCTTTCTCTCTCATACGTTTTACTGAACTTAAAAATTTCTAGTTGTAATCTGTTTTAATTAACTCATTTATTATTGGAAGTTTTCAAGGTCATACCAGTTAGGTAAATACATAATTATATGAATGCTTTGAGTATAGCACAGACATCGAGACTGGGCGAAAAGGAGAGGGGATGGGGTGAAAACCCCAACTTATTTTGAAAAGATATATACATCGTATAAGCATTGAAAATGCAGCGTACCCTTTTTAGGTTTATTGCTCCCCTCCCCCGTTTGTTACCGACACCTATGTATTGGAAAGATAAAGATTTGGACTGAGGGATCTTGTGAAAACGTCTTAATATCTTTTGAAAAGTAAATCAATTCATTTTTGAGGTTAGGGTTAGGCTTAGTTTTTTGAAAGATAAATAACAAATAAAATCTTTCCATAACTAAAATATGATTCTTTTTTCAAAGTGCGTTAAGTGTCTCCATGGTAAAATATATTGATGTAGACTCTTAACGCACTTTGAAAAAATTTTTCAAAGTGCGTTGAGTAGGTCCCAAATTTAACGCACTTTGAAAAATTTTTCAAAGTGCGTTGATTTTGTCCCAATTTTAACGCACTTTGAAAATTTTTTTCAAAATGCGTAATTTTTTCAAAGTGCGTTGCCACAAAGCCCACTCATTTTTTTTCATTTTTTTCTTTGCCCGAGATTAGCATATACCGTTTCGTGGTTGAATTCAACTTTCCACTCGGCGACAGAGTTGTGACACTGTTTACATGTACTGTTTACGGAGACTAAAGAATATAAAGACAAGCATGCCATATATGGTTGTGTAGATAAATTATCGTTGAAGAAATAGGTTTAAACAATTTGGCAGCGCATTTTCTCTGAAAGTTTAAATGAATGCGACTCTGCAAAAGTGGGGGGGTGGGTATCCCGTGTAATTCGGAGTTAGATACCTTGTGTTATTATTATACTGGGTTAAAATTTTATTTCCGAAACGTTTCGAGATTGTACGACATCTGTACACAAACACATGTATGTAGTTGTAGTGTATTTTTATTTTTGCGTCAATGGCCAATCTCTAAACGTTTAAAGAACTACATGTACATATGGATGTGATTGACGTGGAAATTATATATTTTTGAGAAATTATCAGCCCATACATTTTTTTAATTAAAGTGGAGTGGTCTTACTGGTATGGAATCACACAGAAAAGAAATTGTAGATAACTTAACAAGCAAAATTGATAAAAGACATCAAATCGGCCTCAAATATTTTAAGGAACAAAAGTTCAAAAAATGGATTTTAAAGCACAGAATGTATACGATCATTTTAGTTGCAAAATAGTAGACTTACCCAAATACTATTCTACGCACTTTTAATACATATGTTAATTTTTTTCGATTGAATTTTAATATTAATCAAAAATGATTTAATTCATTGATGTTGAAATCGGCGATAACGGATAGGATCGTATAGGCATCTTTTTTTATTATTATTCCATGACATCGGACAAAAAACTTTTCTCGTGCTGACACTTTTTCTCGCGTGATATAATTTACCCGATGTCAGTTTCCTTTTTTGACATGCTAAGTGCAGAAAAAATAAATATCACTGTTTCATTTGCAATTGTACTGCAACAGACATTTTTTTTTATTTTCAATGTTTATCAATTTAACTGATTTCCGGAATCATTGTACATGTATTACACACTCCAACGTTTGGGAGCAGTTCATGTACATGTAACAACTTTCTATAATTATAATCATTAGTTAATAAATACGAAAGACGAATAGGGCCACATAAAAAAATATTTTTATCTCGTAATTACGAGAAAAGATCTCGTTATTGCGAGTTAATTATCTCGTTATTACGAGAAAAGATCTCGTAATAACGAGAAAAGATCTCGTTATAACGAGTTAATTATCTCGTAATTACGAGAAAAGATCTCGTTATTACGAGTTAATCATCTCGTTATTACGAGAAAAGATCTCGTAATAACGAGAAAAGATCTCGTTATTACGAGTTAATTTTCTCGTTATAACGAGAAAAGATCTCGTAATTACGAGTTAATTATCTCGTTATAACGAGAAAAGATCTCGTAATTACGAGATGATTATAAATATATATTTATGTCATTATCTTGGAATTTTTTCTTTAATAAAAATGTGTGAAGAGGACGAAGTTATTACGAGATCTTTTCTCGTTATAACGAGATAATTAACTCGAAATTTCGAGATAATTAACTCGTAATAACGAGATCTTTTCTCCTTATAACGAGATAATTAACTCGTAATAACGAGATCTTTTCTCGTAATTACGAGATAATTAACTCGTTATTACGAGATCTTTTCTCGTAATAACGAGATCATTAACTCGAAATAACGAGATCTTTTCTCGTAATAACGAGATCATTAACTCGTAATAACGAGATCTTTTCTCGTAATTACGAGATAATTAACTCGTAATAACGAGATCTTTTCTCGTTATTACGAGATCTTTTCTCGTTATTACGAGATCTTTTCTCGTACTAACGAGATCATTAACTCGTAATAACAAGATCTTTTCTCGTAATTACGAGATAATTAACTCGTTATAACGAGATCTTTTCTCGTAATAACGAGATAATTAACTCGTAATAACGAGATCTTTTCTCGTAATTACGAGATAAAAATATTTTTTATGTGGCCCTATTCGTCTTTCGTAAATAAATATTTGATGAGAAATTTAAAAAATAACTGTTTAGAGTTATTGTTTCCAAAATTGAAAAAAAAATTATCCATATTCTTCTGGAATGTTATTAATAAAAGATTATTCAAACGAACAATAGAAAAAAAAGACTCATTTACCAATGTGCACATTCTAACACAACAAATGCATGTAGATTGGCCATCAGCGGCCGATAATAATAAATGTTACACTTGTATATGTATATAGCCACACCCACGTTTCTGCAAAGATAAACATAGGTATTGAAAATTGGGGCTTACCTTTTTTCGGTTAACCCCCCCTCCCCCCACATACCACACTTACCCCCCCCCCCCCCTTTTTCAATTTGCTTCCGATGACGCCAATGACATATTCAAATTAAAGATGCGCATCAATTTAGAGTTGACCGGAAACTTCGTAGAAAGCCATCTTACTAAAAGGGGGGTGGCTGTGCAAAGTTTGCATTGTGTCGTTGTGCTGTCACGGTTTTGTTCGCCAAGGTCGCCATATCGTCCTGCGATAAGGGTATTGATCTGATAGGCTTTTCTAGACAACGTAAGAATCTAAATAGGTAAGATCTTCGTGTATTTATACCAAAACAATTAGACAATTAAACTTATTTAAGCTATAGCAAATTTATCAATAATTAAACAGATTTCAAATTATCAAATCGTATACATACTACATGTATTTAAGTTAAAATTGATTTGTTTCAATAAACCTCAATTAATATAGCTTTCAAATTGAAATGTCCTGTAAATGACACCATTAAACATTAATATATTTATTGATATTGATGTAAGATCAAGGAAGAGTGCACAATAGGACTGCAGGACTTTGGATAACAGAAACCTGCAGATAAGAGGAAGTTTCATATTGTCTATGTGTATAAATAGAGCATATATTCTTGATATGCTATAAAGGACCGTTTGTTTACATTATGCATGTATAAAGGTAAAACAGTGTTTTTATGCCCCTGGATCGAAAGATCTCGGGTGTGTATTGTTTTTGTCCTAGCTGTGTTTATGATTGATTTTTTGATGCTTGAATTTCAAATTTTAACCAAGAAAAATAAAGATGAATATAACTTTTTAAAGATTTATTTCCTTTTTAGGACAGGGATTTAACAATAACTTACTTGACTATATTTCCTTTAGTTTTAAGTTTCGAATAAAAGTAATCATAAAACACATCTAATTCTTATTAGTGACGTCAAGTATCAGTATTCATACTTCCGGTCCATATATGATTTTTTAAAACGCTTTTTACTCTTTTACTCAAATTATACTTTTGCAATTAGTTCCACTTTTGACATGAACCATGTTGCTTTTATCAGTACCACTGCTGTACCTTATCTTTCGAACTACTTTAATTGCCTTTAAACATATGATGTGATAGCTTTTTTGTCAATCAACTACATGTACAGAGGTAAAAAAAAATTGCTTTTATTTTCCTCCTGTTGAATAAAGTTAATGCATCTGCTCATTCCAGAAACCTTCCCACCCAGTCCCTGATTAATGTCCGTTTTGTGCCAGTGTCAAATGTCGCCACCAACGAAAAACAAAAACAGCTGACAACTTTCGGCGGTGTTTAGTTAGTGGTATGTGTAATCTCTTTTGTAAGATAACTGAGGACTTGCGATTAAAAAAATCAACACAAGGTTTAGCCAATACAATATTCTTGACATGGATCTGAAAATTCCCTAGATAGTAGTGCATTAATTCATTTTGACGCTTTGAAATTCAATAATTTTCTTTTGTAGGAAATCATGAAGAAGCAACATTTCCTCATTGGAATTACACTGATTTGTGTGTTGTTTGTTGTTGTGAGCTTTTATTCGAGAAGGATCCATTCCTCAAACACGATTTCAGAAGACATTCCTTTAGATCGAACGAGAGAAGAACTGAAACCAGCAGAAAAAGAACAAAAACACTATATACCCGAGGGTAATCCTTTTGATTTGCATTCACAGAAAAATGACAACGATAATGTCAAACTCAGTCAATCTAGTCAACCAGCAAAAATACTGACAACAACAGCTACCTCCCCGACAACAAAATTAATGACTACAACAGCAGCAATAACAAAACAACTCAACGAAATGAAGCAAATGTTATCATCCCGAAAAGACAAAACTAGTGTTTTAAAATCAAATAATAACACATTACTAGCAACGAAAATCAATCAGGTAGTAAAAGAAAATTCGTCAAAGTTTTCAAATTTAGCAAAAGTGAAAAATACAACATTGTTGACACCCAAGGTAGGCACTGTCAATGGCGTGCGTATTTACTCCTGGAACGGTTCTTGGAGCCTCTCTACCATGTGCGAGGGGTTAAAGGTCAAAGACTTCCAAGAAGCAACCCTAAACACCATGTCTGGACAGACACCCATCTTTGTTTATTCAGAAACGCAGGACAAATATGTCTCTCATGATATCATACGAACTGGTTGGTGGGAGCATCACCTCGCGGTTCCCATGGTTACCATGATGCAAAAAGATCCATCCTTGACCTTTTTAGATATTGGCGCCAATATAGGAGCGTTTACATTAGAAATCGCAAAAATGGGTAGGAAGACAATTTCTGTCGAGCCTTTGAGAGATAATATTCAAAGACTGTGTTGTTCTGTATATAAGGGAAAACTTGGAAACCTAATAACAATCGTTGCAAATGCAATATCAAACAAACACCTTCAAGTCACACTGGGAAAAGACCTTGACAATGTAGGCGGGACATTTGTTAATAAAGACAACCCTGTAAAAGTAGCCCAGATAGTTATGAATGGTGAGTACTCCACTCCAGTCAACACTATATTATTGGATGACCTTCTAGGGCTTCCTGAAAAACCAAAACGAGTCTTGATAAAAATGGACGTAGAAGGTTATGAACAATACGTTTTAGAAGGTGGAACTTATTTCTTCCAGCAAGTTTTCGTTAAAGCCATTTTTATGGAGTGGACATATAGTAACAATCCCTCTATCAGAGATTCAATAATTAGGTTTATGGTCAAAAGAAACTTTTTGCCTTACTCATTGTCAATGCATGAAAGCATACTGGAATCGCCATATGATGCCTGGCCTGGTAATATTGTCTGGATAAATCAAAATAAGGAATGAATAAATCGATTTCAACCAAAGGATTATTGCAATTTTATTTAAATTACTGGTGAATGATATTCTCTCTTTCCTACAAAACTCCGGAAGTTATAAACTCTAAATTTAAAGGACAAGGACGTCAAGGTATGGTAATGGCCGAATCTGCTCCATATATAGTGTAAAATATCCGAACACGGTTAAAACTGTGATAGTTTGTAGTTAAGACCTTGAAGTGAATCTCGTTTTTAAAATCAGCAATGATTTAAATTCAAATTTAACATGTAGGCCACAAGCAGGCACAAAAGCATGACAATTTTCTGAATATCCTCAATTCTGGTGGAATTGCGTTTTGAGATACTTTTCACTTTGCTAAACACGGAGCACAAACTTCCCTATCTGGGATTTTTTAAACACAGGATGCATCTAATTATAGTGTATGAAATACGTAAATTTGTTGTAGATAAGCTTGTGCTCTATGTTTTCTGGAGCAAAGTGATATGTAAGATGTATGAACATTTTCATAAAAATGAGAAAATTTGGATTGATTTTCTGATTGTCCTGTGACTTTTGTGTCATAACTTATAAACGACATTCATTTTGCGGTAGGGGTGAAAAGAGGGTTTTAATTGAAATACTGTTTCATCATTCTTAAAGACTCTCCAAACCATAGACCAAAAAAGGTCTTAGCCTATCTTGTCCTTTCAAAAGTAATTCTCAGTTTAACAAAAACATTTTTCCCCCAATATTTTTCCAATGCATATAATAGCAGACATATTACGTACATGAATTTCAAAATCCGTTTAAAACATTTTGCACATCATGGAAAGCTAGAACACACAGCTATTTTAAATTTTATTATTTGAAAAATCGTTTATACTTAGAATCTTAAAAAACCTTTACAAAGTTTACAAATTTTGTGCAGTAAAAGTACTAGAAAAAAATAAAAAAAAAACTCAGATGACACCAAGGATCAAGGTCTCTATTACAACAAAATCAACAATAATTTTTTGTGTCCTAAAGTACTGGTGGTAAAACAATTCGTCCATAATTTTGCTTACGTATACATTTTAAATAATATGAGATACAGCCTTTTGCAATTGTTTTAATGATGAATTCGTGGTATGGTCATGATTAATCAAATTTAAAAAGCCTAAGACAAATTCTTGCTAGAGATTCTTCTTCAAAAATTGTATTAAATCGTCCATGGCACGTATTCCAACATTAAATGGAATTGGTCCCTTAAAGAAAAATATCATTCCATGAAATCCTTCCTGATAATGAGCTAAATGGACTTTAACACCCGCCTTTTTTAATCTTTGATAATATATTAAACCGTCCTCACGTAATACGTCATATCCTGCCGTTAAAACGTAGGTGAAAGGTAGATCTTTCAAATCTGCATCATCCGCCATAAGGGGGGAGAAATATGGATCAAGCAGAGTCTTTTCTATTTCTTTTGAAAGTTTCTCGTCCCCGAAATCAGCGGGTTTCTTCATATTACGAAGTGACTCGGTCCTGATGTGTTCATTCATGTACCACTTTGGCGAAACGTAGTCAGCGTACTTAGATTTTTTCAAGGCTGGTGAAGTATGCTTATTAGCCATTATTGTGTCAATATGGTCATAGCTGATGTTCGCATAGTTCAGCCAATAGGTCAACATCGATATGTCTGTTAACATTCCTGGAATATAGTCCTTGTTTTCTATATAGGATGGCGTTTGCATATCAAACAATTGCAGACATGGGTAAATGGGAATCTGGATTTTTATCTTCTTCTTTAAGCGTAGTGATACGGCAGCCGATAAATGACCACCTGCACTATCCCCAGATACTGCAATTCGCGAACTATCAATACCTAGGTCTTTTCCATTATTAATCACATGCTCAGTGACATCGAGGCAATCTTGGAAAGGAATTGGATGGGCATATTCCGGTGACTGACGATACCTAAAATGAAAAAAAATGTACAGAAATTGGCTTATTACATTTACATCATTATTTTTTCTTCAAAGTATCTTACCCTACGGACACAACGACAATTCCAGCCCCTTTAGCCAGCTGTCTTGTAGCCTGGTCATAAACATCTGGAAAAATAAAGCCAATAGAAACTTTAAAATTGGCATCATGTCTCTCAAAACATGGTTTTCCTAAAAGAAATATTTTCCAGAAAAGGTGTTTGCCAACATTGTATTTTAAGATAAAACATAAATTCTGACCAATAGAAAGCCAGGACCATCCACCCCCATGGTAGTAAACCAGTGCTGGACGATTGGTTTTCTGTCCACTGGTTGGTTCATAAACTCTGACGTCAACACCAGCCATCTTTGTATCATATATCTGTAAAAAAAAAAATCATTGTTTCTTTCCAACAAGTCAGTGCATTGAATGTCAGTCACTAATTACTGCTAGAAATACAAAATCTCATTAGATTTGTGTAGAAATTGTCGGTGACGGTGTATTAGATTATACCTTTAGTTCCGGGTCGTCACCAAGACCTCGAGGACTTCCGGTTATGAGAGTGGTCAGCATGATCTCCACCATTTTTCTTGTCCACCACGTGACTCCACCATGAACTCCAAGATTGTTCAAGGTCAAGATCTGTTTGGGAAAAAATGTTTGAATTCGATAAAATTTTATGCTCTCCTCCCTTTATTTAGAACTACATGTATGATTATCTACTTAACATGTATTTCCTAAAATTTGAGTAAGTCAAAGAAAATGCCGTTAATTCGGCAAGAGATGAATTATCGTGATAAAAGAAGACTATTTTATATTACATGGATGTGATCATTTCTCAGAAACAATATTATAATACTTGAACGTTTGCTTAGTTAGTATAGAAAAATTCAAACATTTTTTGAGACTTCATTTCTTCGACTCCTTCTGACTTTTCCAATGGTCAAATTTGACATCTCCTATTTATACGCAGTTTTAGAAATAAATACTTTTAAATATTTAACCCATACACTGTATGTGAAATTTAAAAAAAAATCCTTACAACTTTCCCCATTGTCCGAAGTGATGTATCTAAAATCCGAGCATTCCAGACTTCCGGAACTCCCTCGGGAACACCGGTTTCCATATAGTTAAAAATAGCAAACGCCAGGACGAGGGTGATCACTGCAGTTAATGAGGACATCATAATGCTTTTTACAACCGATGTGTGCTACATAAAAAAGAATTCAGAAGATTTAACATCATAACTATCACTGAAAGTCTAAGAAACACTATCATTCCATACTCATTGTATACATATTTTACATGCACCTAACGTTACTTATTTTTCTTTAAATAAAAAAAAATATACCCCTACCTAATAATAGGTAGGGGTATATTATTTTTATTAAAAGAAAAATAATTAACGTCAGGTGCCTGTGACATTTTTGTGTTGTTTGGGGGGAAATATACATTATTGCATTAACTCATGCTGTATGCACAATAAAAATTTTTTAAAGATTGCATAAAATTTTAAAACCAAATGCTCTGGTTTTGAGCAGTCCTACGTAGTTGATCCCTAGACAGCAGTGAACTTTGTCCTACATACATGTATGTATAAAAACAAACGTAACATACAGAATTATTTGTTGTTTGATGTAAACATAAAGTCCTTAATTAAAAAGGCCGAAAATAAGGTTGAAAAATTGATAAATATAGTTTACCTTCATCTGATGAATGATTTTCCCAACATCCGTTCCCTCCTTGCGTTTGTGACCTTTGTGTAAATTGACCATATTGGGGATTAATTATGGCACCCTTGATACTTAGTAGATTTCTTTCTGTAGGGCTGCCTTGCAGGATGACCTTCTGTTGTTTTCGCCTATCTCCAAATCCCCCGATGTACCTAGATAAGGCCAGACGGTTTAAGATATCACCAAGAATGGTCAATGTAGATAATCAAATAAAAACTGGTTATGACACATTTTAATTATCCGAAATATTCTTTAAAAATATATGTAAAGGAAGAAAACTTTCACACTAAAATCTCAAGAAATAGTTTTTAAAAAGAATTACCAATTAGTGCATATAAAAATGTTCTCATTATAATGCACTTTAATAGAATATATTAAATTGTGACTTTAATATTGACACACTGAAAAAAGTATCTCTACTTTTTTTGCAAGGTTCAAAATCAAGTGCAATCGCCTTTCCGCTTGAACTTTAAATTATGCAACACGTGCCCATTTTTGTCGAGACGTTAGACGACACATCAGGCTTATTTCGCACGTGTGTAACTTTGTTATCAGAATAAACAGCTGTTTTTTAAACCATGTGTCGTTAACAAGATAAATTAGTCTACAGTCAATGTAAGATGTCCTTAACTGAGTCTGTAAAATTAATCTTTGATAAGCGCAATCATCTGGAAATTGTAATAATTAGCGTATAATTTTCTTTTTTATGTAAAACGCATTTTCTCTGCCCTAAATATTGACAGCAAGTCATGTGTATTTTTCACAATATCGGCGTAGATACAATCATTTTAAGCACAACGAGCTGCAAACAATCGAAATATTAGATTTCAATCCATTTTCAATTAACTTGAAGTATTTTGATATTTACTGAGCACCAACATTTACCTATGCGTCTGTGGATATCTAAATAAATAAATGACATACTTACCGATACGGCCACGTATAAATATTTTCCTGGCCTAATTGATTACCGGATATTCACCAGCATGCAGTAAAATAAAATGTTTTGGGATTTGTTGTTCCGAAAACGTATTGGAAAAGTGCTAGTACAAGGAATTTAAAGTGATCTGAGTCCTTCATTTCTTTCCGAAACTTGTTTTCGTGTTTATAATTAATCATTTATACAATATACTTGTTTTCAAATATTTAATTTTTCTGGTTTTTAAAAATATTCTGAATTCCAAAATAAGCTTCAATTTAATGATGCTCATTCCTAATCGTAAAAAATAAATGAAACGTGCACATTCATAAAAGCCAATTAATGAAACAATTTTCATAATATTTATGTTTGTATATATGGACACAGGCTGTTGTTTGTTGCGAATATATAATTATATGCTTTACCAGGTGTATTTATTATGTTCATTGATCAAGAACTTGACACGCGCGGATCAAGAGGGGTGTTGGGAGTCCTGCCCCCCCCCCCCCCCCCCTGGAATTTGCAGAGCGATTAAATGTAAATGCATATACTAAACCAAGTTTAAGTGTCCTGGGACACCCTAGAAAACATGGACCCCTCCTCGAAGATGCTGATAAAAGAAGCTTAATTCCAACGATTAATACCCCCCCTTCTTACCCACGAATTAGTGATTTGGGGGGGGGGGGTATTCTTTTTGACGACTTTAAAATACTATAGAAGCATGGAAGTTATGATATTACATGTATATCATTTATAAAAGAAAATAATTCATATTAACTTCAATTTTATAGCCTAACCTTGTTTTAATTCAAGACTCAAGAACAAAATAAGAACAACCTTTAAATGAAGGTTGGGTGCACTCTACATACGTGTCCTATCCAAAGCTATTTTCTTTTCTTTATAACTAAAACTACCAACTATCATTTAGAAAAGAAAAATTTCATACATTTTTGTATATCTTTGTATGAAACTTTTCTTCTGAAGGAGATCAATATAGTCTGAAAATGGCTACCACCACCCAAGCCTCTTAAGTTAGAAGAGTGCATGGAGTTAGTTCTTTTGTTCATCTCTCCATTTGAAATGTTATTAGGCCAAAAATGCATATAATATTCGACATTATATTACACTGTATATTGGGCTTGGATGACAACTAGCTTGTCTGAAATGGCTATTGTTCCTTTCCATGATTCAGCAACATACAGAAGGACCCAAACCATATTTCTCTTGAAAATCTTAATTTTGGCAATTATGTTGATTTTTGCTGATCTCCGGATGTTTTGCAGCAGTGCAACATAAGCTCATGCATTGTCTTTCGAAATCCGAGCTAGTGCAGCTACAGCGCTATGACAAAAGTATTCGCGATTTTTACGCAATGGCGTCTTTCTTGCGCTGCGCCTCGCTCGGGGAATGGGAAATAACTCTAATTAGATGCCGTGTTGACAAACGAAATTTTTACAGAGTTGTCTTCACATCGGAAGTGACGTTATATGTAAGTATTTTTATCGTCTGCTGTCTTGGATTTTATGTAAACACACAGATATTACGATGGGTAGGAAATCTACAGAAATATCAAATGATGTCAAAAAATTAATTGTGGAAATGAAAAAGGAGGGGCAAAAAACATCAGTAATTGTGAATTTATTACAAATACCTGAGTCAACCATCAGATCTATTTGGAAAAAATATTTGTCAACTGGTGAAGTCAAAACATTGAAAAGAAAAGGACGCCCTCGGAAGCTGTCAAAACGAGATCAGAACTGGATTATTAGACATACTAAAACTAACAGAGGACGGGTTTTAAAGGATATTACTAATGAATTTAATGAAAGCAGGGATGCTAATGACTTTGTTAATCCACGGACAGTCCAAAGATTTTTGCGTGATCATGATTATAAGCGAAGAGTTGTTAGAAAAAAATGGTCGTTTCCGAGATCAACAGAAAAAGGCGTGTTGCATGGTGTTTAGAGAAAAGAAAACTCACAGTGAATAATTATTGGAATACAATTATATTTTCTGATGAAAGTCAGATAGTTTTAGGAGAGAATCATTGAGTGTATGTGTGGAGAACATCTAAAGAATCGTACTTGCCGCAGTGCATGTGCCCCCCTCGGCAGAGAAGGATTTCGGTAATGGTGTGGGGATGCATCACTTACCACGGGGTTGGTACACTTTGCATGGTCAATGGAAATATCAATGCAGTAAAATACATATCCATTTTAGAAGATCAACTTTGGCCCGTAATTGCCCGACATTTCCTCAACAAAACCTATCGTTTTCAAGACGACAACGCCCCCGTCCATAGAGCTCGTATTACTGTAGATTACAAACAACAAAATAATATTCCTACAATTGTATGGCCAGCTCAATCACCGGACATTAATATTATAGAGAATTTATGGCTAAAAATCAAGAGAACTCTGCAAAGTCGAGCTCCAAACATAAAGACTCCGGAAGAATTGTTCGATGCTATTTTACACATCTGGACTTCCTTCGACGAAAACTATATCAAATCCTTGTATGAATCTATTCCCCGTCGACTATTAGCAGTAATCAAGTCTAAGGGCCACCTCACCAAGTATTAATAAAGGTAAGTCTGTTATTTGTTTCACAATTAAATGAATTTATTGTTTATTTTTACGAAGCGCATCGTGTTTACGTCCGCCATTTTGAAAAATCGCGAATACTTTTGTCATAGCGCTGTACCTCAGAATTCCCATCTGTGGTGATCTTGCTTCCTAGATAGCTACACAGTTTTGCTAGCTGGTTGTTTTTTTCCTTGCATATCACGATGCAAGTGAGCTAGCAGTACTATATCATTCTGCTACATCTAGGTCTTCAACCATTTCTGAAATAGCCCAATTGATTCGTCTGCTTATACTTGATGGTTTCTCGAAAGATCTGTAGTCAATGGAGAATTTGAAGAGAAGAGGAGAGAGCAGAGATATCTGTTTTACCCCAGTCTTCAATTTAAATTCCTCTGATAGGTTTTATCCACAGATAACCTTGAGATCCATGAACAACATCTTAATGATGGAGATAACTTTTTTCCCAAGGCGATTAACACTGTCAAAAGCTTCAAGTAAGGTGGATTATGTTGATTTAAAGTGGATATTCCTCGGCACATGACTTTTCCTTTCTAAAATCTGGTCATTACTATCAATCATTCAATCAATCAGTCAATCAAAAACAAAACATATTTCCCTTCTGTCAGGAAGACATCTCTTTCAGATCACTGATTAATGGAAAATTTGACACAATTTTGTCATTTATCTTAAATGAAAAAAAAACCAAACCAGCTACAGATGTTTTCAAATAAAGTCCCTTTGAATAAATCAATTGAAACTATTTACATTATGAAAGGCGTGTTTTATAATTTTGAAATTTTGACGCCACCAGCTGCCTATTATCTCTGTGTCCCATAGTTAATGCGAACTGAGACAAAAGGAACCACTGCCCAACGATGCTGACTATTTTAATGTCAATGACACTAAAAAAATGAAAAGGCATAAGCATACGATGAGAAAACATTTATTCATACAAAACTTCCTTTTTGGGTGATTCTCGGAAAATGCATGCAGACAGTTCTTTTTATAGACATGCGTAAACAGCCTGGACATTCCAGCATGGTCCAGTTTTTATCGAGAAATGAAAACCAAAAATAGGACAGACTACTGCTTTATAACGCTAGTAAACAATTGAATTATTATTCACACAATCCGCCAGCGTCTTCTGTAGAGTCGCGAAGTTAGGAGTCGATCCTTACGTCGCTGGTTCGAATCCCACAGAGAGACGTTGAGACCGGTCTTTAGGATGATACCGTATAAACCGAGGTCCCATGTCGCAGTAGGTGCTGGCACAAAATAGATCCCCCATTGCTCAATGGCCCTAAGTGTCGAGTATTGGACAAAATTTCTAGCTTTCCACCGGCAAGTGGTGGCGTCTCCCTTTGAGTGAAAAATTCTCGAAAGGGACGTTAAACAACAAATATCAATTACAATCCGTCAAGACAATAAAAAAAAACTTATACACTGTAAGGCCCTTTTTATGTAACATAAATATAAATCACATATGCCTTAAATGCAGGTTTCGCTAGAGTTTTGTAAAAATCTTTTAAGAGACATTGATAAACAAGAGAAGTTTGTAAAACACTTATGACCCAATATAAAATATGAGAAACTTCTGCAAAGAAAATGAACGGAAACTGCAAATAATAGGAATTTTTTTAAGGCCAAAGGGCATAATTTTGTCCGAAATGGCCGCGATCGTACTCATAATAGAATTTGACGTTGATATTCTTGTGATAAATCTGTATTTCAAATTTCATTTCAATATGTGCAATCTCTGCGAAGAAACTGAACGGAAACTGATGGTGGACCGACAGACAGAACAACCGGCCGACAGACAGCAACAAAACAATATCCCCTCCCTTCTTCGAATTTCAAGGTGATTTTTAATTGTATCATGTGTCCTAGTCCTACAATCTTTAAAGATAATTCATACTTTTAGAATATAATAAAAAATACCGTCTTAATGAAACTTTTATGTGGACTGAATTAAACTTTCCCCTTCACCCCCTCTCCCCAGCAAACACATCACATACAAACCGACTTTATTTTTCTCTTCTGAATCTACCGTAAAACTTTTTAAAAAAAATTATGTTGACCCCCGCCTTCTCTATAACTTCAGTACTTAAAAGGCAGCGTTACGCCAGAGGCGATACAGTGAACACCAAATCGTCGGTAGAGTAAACCAAATACTAGTAATACATATATCAAATCCTTTATGGCCAGAAACATGTACGTCAACGACAAAAGGAATTAGAATCATTTACATGTAGTGACATGTTCACTAACTTTTAGTTTAGTTTTATATTCATTGTCATGCATATCATATAAATAAATTACAGTAAAATAAAATTTGCAACCTATACGTGAATAATAATGTAGATTTATATCACGTACAAAGTCTTTAAAATTACTAATAAAAGTTGCAAAACAATTTTAAACTGAAAATCTGACATACACATACAATGTTTAAGTAGGGGTTTGTAAGTATGGGAATTCCACATGGCACTTGTAGTGGTTCAATAGTTCTATGCTTAGCGTATAAACGTTTTGTGTGCGTTGCAAAGGACTTTCTCTGATTTATTTCCTGATTATAAATGAACAGACATATTTCTTTGGAAAATTAATTTTACAAGAATGTTAAAAATCATAATTAAAAATTATTGGTTGTGATTAAGTTTGAATATAACTAACCAGTACCGTAAATTTTGGCGATAATAGTAATGCCAGAGTTAATACACTATCACTTTTTAATAATGTTTCCCTATGTAAGGTTTTCTACGACGAAACCGTGGCGAATATTGTAAAGCAGGAAAATTAATAAAAAAAAAAGAAAGAAAGAGAGGGTAAGAAAGAGGGTGAGTGTGGTGTGAGAGAAAATATGATGGGAGAGGGAGACATAGGTTAGGGAAAAACGAAAGGGAAATTTTCCACTTTCGTTTTACCTGCCCTGTTCCTATGCCATCTAGACTATCTACTCCTGGTTGGAGTGGGGAGAAGATAACTCTCTCATACTCCACTCTCGAGAGAGAGAGAGTTAGAGAGAGGAGGGGAGAGAGAGAGGAGAGGAGAGGAGAGGAGAGAGAGAGAGGAGAGAGAGAGGAGAGAGAGAGAGAGAGGAGAGGAGAGAGTGGGGGAGTGGGCGGAGAGAGTTAGAGAGTGTGCGGAGAGAGTTAGAGAGTGTGGAGGATAGAGAGGGAGGGGAGAGAGAGTATGTAAGAGAGGGGAGAGAGAGAGTGTTTGAGGGAGAGAGAGAGACAGAGTGAGGGGCAGAGAGGAGGAGAGGGGAGTGAGGGGAGAGAGGGAGGGGAGAGAAAGGTTAGGAGAAATAGAGAGTAGAGGGAGGAAGTGGAAAGAAAGAGAGTGGTGGGAGAGAAAGAGACAATGATATACACACACAATTAAAGATATATGTCACAAAGTTTTAATTGCTTTTTCGTTCGAGTTCAAGAGTTCGATTGCTTCGAATACTTCAGTAAAGCCTGGAAATGTGTGCTACATTTTAATGTCTATTTATACTGTTGTATTCCAATACAAGTTTTGGATTTTTGTATTTTTTACTATGTATTATACAAGAATTCTCATAGATAAAAAGTTTTGGGAACGACTTTACTTTACCGGTCCCCAGAAAAACGCGCTAAAATGTAGTGTCGCCGAAGGCGACTTCACTATATATGAGATCGCGTGAGCGAGAAAAAAAATTAAAATATGAGGTTTTTGGCCTTTTGACCCCAAAAAATACGGTTAAAAGTTTAGTTAAAAACTTCGTTTTAAACGTAGTTTTTAACCTCGCTCTCTGAAAAAAATTAACAAATATTGTTTATTCATGGAAAAAATCGTCAAAAAATAATTCTGAACAAAGCGCGTGCGGCGCATGCTTAGTGACATTCCTTTCGGACTTAGCCATTCTTCCATGTAAACAAACGAACGAAATGTCTTTTAAACTGAATTAAATGGTCTTGGAAAATCAGAAACACTGGATTTCTTAACTAATGTAAAAGAAAGAGTTACTAACCCTAATCCATCGGATGGTATGCAGGGACCGTTTAGACGAAACCTCCCGGGCAGATGCTAAACTAACCCTAATCAGTCGAATAATGTGCGAGGACTAACCCTAATCTCTCTGATGGATGCCAGACTAACCCTAATCAGTCGAATTAATGCAGGGACTAACCCTAATCTCTCAGGTGGGTGCAAGACTAACCCTAATCAGTCGAATAGTGTGCAAATTTAACCCATTTCAGTTGAGTGACGTTAATGTTACGTCATAGTCCAATGAGCACGAGGATCTTGCGGATCTGGGGACCGGCAAAGTAAAGTCTACACAAGTTTTGTCCCCTGTTGAAAATAGGGGATATTTATTTCAGTTTGTCTGTCTGTCCGTCTAGCTGCCTGTCCGTCTGTACTTAATTCTGTCTGTGAGTAACGCTTTCCCCTTCCACGCGTTAAATTATCCCGAGAACCCTTCGATTTTTTGCAATGAAATTGTACACAATAGATCTAACTCTCAATGGCCTATTGATTGTAGATCTCTATTGATTGTAAGTCAACGCAATAAATTTAAACAATCTGTCTGCTTAACAGTTTTGTTTCCGCACGATATCTCAATTCGTTACACAAGTTACACAATGAGTCAAAATCATGTGTTTGAAATTTACCAAAAAAGACTTAAAAGCTTTCCTTCACTGTGTTGAAATGGTAACTATGGTAACATAAACTTTTCTGCGCAAATACGGAGGAAGAATTTAGTCATGTAAAAAATCTAAATTTTTCAATACTCACTATTTCCCCTTTGTGCGTCACGGTGTCTCTTTAACCTTTGAGCTTTTTCAGTGATATTTTAAACCACAAATCTCTGTGGCTTAAAGAAGAATCAAAGGGTCAAGGTCGCAAGTTTATACATTTTATAATTGATTGTGTACTGCTTAACATCCCTTTCGAAAATTTTTAACTGATATGGAGACTCCACCACTTGCCGATGCAGAACTGAAATTTCGTCCTATATTCAGCACTCAGGGCCATTGAGCATGGAGTTATCTTTTTCGTGGCAGCACCCACTGCGACACGGGACCTAGGTTTATACGGTCTCATCCGAAGGACCGGTCTCCACGTTCCACGATGAGATTCGAACACACAACGTAAGGATCAACTTCTTACTTCGCGACTCTAGAGTAGACGCTCTTATCACTGCCATACATTTATGTGAGTGTTTGTAAAACTCATTTCCGGGCGATTTCTCTAGAAGCTTTTGAGTTTTTGCAATTTTAAAAATGTTACACCATAACTCCTTCTGTCCCCCACCATCCTTCTTTCCGTAACTCCGTTCGGCTGTATTTCTCTCTGTCTGTAACACTTTCATTTCCAATCGAATTTCTGAGAAGCCTTTGAACTTTGGCGACTAGATTCTACACAACTCAGTGGCCTAAAAAGGCCTATTGATTTTGAAATTAAGTTTTAGTAGAGGGTAAACTAGAAACACTTGTGTTTTTTTTTAATGTAGAACGTGAAGTAAACATATGTATGTGAAAATCTGCAAATACGAGGGAGGCGGAGAGAGGGGGTCGACCCCAAATCTGAGCATCCTCCCCTTTTTGCCTTCAGCGGGGACACAAATTCTCTGAATTAGCTTGTTAAAAATAACTTAACTGAACCTGTATAGATTTGTATATTATCAATCTCAGAGAAACGAATACCAGGTACAAAACTCGCATCTCGTATTCAGTCGTTTAGGCAATACACTTTAATTGAACATAATTTAGTCTATATTTTAATTTTTGTACACTTTAATTGTACATAAATAAGTTTATATTTAGCAAAAGCAAGATATTTCCAACAAAAAAAATCTATCGTGGAAGCGCCACCAAGTGGTAAGGAAGTGCTGTTAAGGTAAGGGCCTGAACTCCTTCCAGTGACGGCGGGTTTTCCGTATCATCCATCACAAATCTAAATCTTTGTAGCAAGTTCGTGAAAAACAAGAACAACTCCATCCTTGCAAGTGGTTCTCCAATGCAAAAACGGGGACCTGTACGAGAAAAAGGTTATAATTTGAAACCTATGTATTTTTATGTAATCAATATAATTTTTTTATGAAGGTGAAACACGTCTCACCTGTGGAAAATGGAACGAAAGCATCCCTGCGTCTGAGTGATCCGTCCTCGTTTAAAAATCTTTCGGGTTTGAACTTTTGTGGTTCTTCCCAATATTTCTCGTCAATGTGGGCTGAATACAGATTTGCTATAATAATGGTATCTTTCGGAATGTCAAAACCAAGCAACTGGGTATCACATTTGGCAACGTGTGGAAGAGAGAAAGTTACTGAAAGGTGAAAAATTACGTTTAACATTTGACTTGGTTGGAAGGTAGGCATTTATTTAAAATCAGTAGTAATCAATAATACGTATAATTGATACATGCAAGTATTTGCTATTCGCTGAATTTCCAATAAGGTGGCCTCTAGGTACGGCATTTTCCCTCTGTCTTCGAGACCAACATGTCTATTTTTACCGACAACCTTTCAAAATATTTTTAAAAAATATATTGCAGAGATACTAGTGACAACTAAATATGTCGGTACCATAAACTAGAAAAATATGTATGCAATGAGATATCAATGTATCATATGGATTTAATACGAAGTCTTATGCTTGATGTTGTATTATATTTACGTACAGAATCGATCTCTTCCTGACACTTGGTCTGTATGTCAGGGTATGTAATCATATACAGCAGGCACCAGTCTAAACTTGTCCCGGTCGTCTCCCCTCCCGCGAGGAAAAGATCCACAATAATTTTATAAACATTGGCCTCTAAAAAAAATAATGTAATATACTGACACGCAAAAGAAACGCAACACCCTACTTTAGGGTGAAATAATTATGTAAAGTAAAAAAAATTAAATCTTAAAATTATGGATATCTTCAAATTGGTAAATATCGGTAATTTAACGGTTGAACGATTTTCATACCATAACCGGAAGTCAAGTTTGAGTCTGCATAACAGAAATCAAAAATTGCATGTTTCACAAAACAGCTGGCAATATTATGGAGTTTTAAGGGTGTGTACTGTTCATCTTAAGTAATGCAGCAATATTTCAAAAAATAAAATCTCCTTTCGTTTCCCGTAACGACGTTAAAGCTTCTTGAAAATGGCTTAAGTGCGCATTTCCATTGCTCTAGCTGAAAAATCACAAAGTAAAGGCGATGGAGAGATGATGATGCAAAAATACACTACATTACGTCTCAACAGGGTCTTACGTATTTTATTCATAAATGATAGTCTTTGGACCGGAAGTCCAAGGGTTACTACAATGCGCTAAATTAGAGAAAATTCGACCTAATCATCTGAAAAACAGACATTTAAAAATGGTAAAGAATAATTCCTTCGCTCAGATCTCGATAATGATTAACCTATTGTATCCTAGAAATTAAGCTGCTAATGTTGTTTAGGACAGTCTTGCACGTTGTAATTGAGTGGCTGGGAGGGGGGTGTTTTAAAAGTCATATGTTACTTAGTAAAGTTAAAAGATAAACATTTAACATTTTTATCAAATCTCTGATATTCTGAAAAGTGAGTTTAGCCTAACTGTATTCTTTTCTAAAAATTATTAGTTAAAAAATTCAAACATTAGTAGATAACTGCTTGTTGCGTTTCTTTTGCGTGTCAGTATACTTGTTAACACAGAGTGTATTCTCAAAATTACTTAGTATACTTTTATGTAAATAGTATCGTGACGAAAAAACATACCAGTAAATATTTCGGGTTCTGAGTCGTCGCGAGAAGCCTTTATGTACAGGTCAATAAAATCTCTTATTGCTCCGGGATCAAATGATTCCTCGTGTTCTTTTATAGTCACAGCAAGATATCGCTTAACCTTTTCTATAGCAGCGCTTCTTTTCCTTATTAGCTAGGATGAAAACGAGAGAAAAGGCAACTGATACTTTTCTGTTTAATCAAAGCTATATATGCTACATGATTCATTTCAATAAAGACATATATTGTACCTCTTTCCCGCCAGAAAAGTTCCTCGTAAACGGAAAGAAATTTTCCTTTGCAAATGGTGCGTTGAGACGAAAAATGGATTCAAGAACATCTGTTAATTCATTAAATCGGTCGTCGGTATACTGAAACCTATAAATTGCATGATTCTTGTAGGAAAAACATCAAAATACACACACCCTGACATACAAAATAAGTGAACATAGTAAGTGCAGAAATTCATCAATACCTTGCACCAAACATTACACTGCAAATGATGTTAGTTGCAGCCGACAAAAAGAGTGGCTTCACTCTGACTGGTTTTCCTTTGCTTGCTGTCATTGTTTCCATGACAACGTTCACCTCTTCTTTTACTCGCTCTTCCAATGACTTTTTCCCAACTCCAAAGTCTCGTAAAGCTTGCAAAGCGAACCTTCTGAGAATTTTCCATGGTCGATCACTATTGTATGTTAAACCTGCAAAATGGCTCTGTATATAACAAACTGATGTATAATGTCAGTTGAGTGCTCAAAATGTTGGAATTACGCAAAAAATGTCAGTTGGTAGAATCTTTACATAGACTACAATCTATCATATGGGGGCCTATTTCGGAGATCTTCTTGTTCTGAAATTGTTTAAGCAATTGTCAAACATAGCATGTTTTTATCGAATCTTGCTGAAAATATAGCGTAAAACAGACCTAACTGTGAGAATAATGCAAAGTTGGCAATCAAAGAAAAATAGACGATCATGTTACAAAATTTGATGGCATCAATTCGTCAGGTGTATTAACCAGATTTGTGGGATTGTTGAAGGCTCAAATGAAGTTAAGGTAAGTGTGCCCCATATTTTCTCGTAAAATCCAAAACGGCGCGGGCGCAGTTCTAACCCCACCGTACCTCTACATATTCGCAAAAATTAATTCATGGAAATTAAATAAGATTCTACATGTCTGTGTAACTTATAAACCTTTTTTGGAGTCAAAAGTCAAAAGCAGTAGTGAGTTTTGGGTCGCCGAAGTTGAATTAATAAGAAAAAATACGCACAGAAACAAGTCAGGGGCAAGACTTTTGTACATTTTATTTGTAAACTGTAAAAGTACTGTTACTCAAAATATAATTGTTGAAAACTGCATTAATATAGTTCAGTTTTATACTGAAAATGTTTTATTTCATACAATGGAGAACTATATAAAAGACCGAAAATCCTTTCGTATCATGTAACTTAAAATCTTGAATGAATGTCGATGATAGCATAACCGGACATAATCCATGCTAGTAAACAAATCAAACAATGAAATATAGAATTGTTGATAAGCAGTACCATAGTCCTACTCTACTTCTTTGCAAATAAAAATTTTCTTTGAAATATTTTTTTCAAATAAGCCTTTGGCAGCACTTTTAATCGTGCCATGTGGATAAAAACGCGAATTTTCAGTATGCTAAACATTCTATATTGTGACGTCATTTTAGGAGATATTACGTCATGAAAATTATAAAGTGACGTCACAATATGTGTATGTTTTTCTGTTCTTTCCAATGATATCAAACTCAAATATATATCCGTAAAACAGTTAATTTTTTATTAAACAGTTCTCAGGACTTTTGAAATACCCCTCGTAAGAGGTAATTCAGCTGAACAAATTAATTCAGGTCATTTAGATTTAAAAGTTTAAAAAAGAAGCAAAACAAAACAAAATGAAATCTAACGACAAAATACAATTTTATAACAATTTTATAATGAAAGGGCAGTGAGACTAATAAAAATACCAGTAAATTAGAGTAAAGGTAAATTTTTATTTCAAGGGAAAATGTCCATACCTGTTCCTTTGGAAACACCAATCAATGGTACAAACAGCTGAGGTCTGTCTGTGAAGACATCTGCCTGTTTCACGAAAGCTTCGTTGATTGCGTCATATCCGTTTAAAATAACTATTAGAGTAGATCCGCAGTGAAGAGTGTAAATATTTCCATATTCCTCCGCAAGTTTTGTATAAGCTTTGTATCCATGCGGATTTTTTTTAAACAGAATTAAATTCCCCAAGAAAGGAACTGGGAGTGGTCCAGGAGGAAGGTTCCCTTTCTTACGCCAAAATACAAACCAGAAAATGAGAAAAGAAAGTACAGATATAAGGATTAAGGTAGTAGCCATTGCAGACACCTCACATATAAATAAATAACGTCCTCTCACATTACAGTTACATGTAGATGACACGTGGCCAGCAAATGCAATTCCATTTATCTACCTGCCCTGGATTTGACATTATTGTCGTAGTAAGTATTCTGAATCACGTTTCTTTTCCTTTATGTCTTATAATTTAAAGAGCATTTCCCGGTAAACCACTTCACATACATATCTTTAGTTATGGAGTTTGTAGTATGTGTGAAGATTATTTTGATACATGATGGATTATAAGAAAAGTTCATTATATGTGTTAATTGCTTTCATTGGATTGATATTGCAGTATTTCAACTAAATATTATACAATGTATTAATTTTATTGACGCCCCTGGGCCATAATGCTCAGCCAAGTCACTTTTGGTGTTCATAAGGACCCCTCCGCCTTTTATCTCGATGAAAATTGTGTCGGAAGAATTAATGAATTAGCTATGCTTAAATCCATACAATAGGAGGATATCAAAGTGACACACATGTAGAGAATCCAAACAGATCTATGTAGTTCACTATCGCAGCATTGCACTTTAGAGGTATGAGTTGTTTGTGCGATATCGCGACGATTCAATGACGATGAAGCATTGACGAGGAAGCAATGGTACCGGTGCGATAGCGGGGCTACGACGATGCGATGGCAAGAGGAAGCGATGGTGCGATGATTCGATTGTGCGATGACCATAGCGCGATCATCTAAAAATGTAACAAACTTTTCTTTTGTCAATGAATTAATACATTTTATATCTTTTGTTTAATTAATTTGAAAATCAAATTACATGTACTTGGATATTTTTATATTTTTATGTGAAAAAAATTAAGATATCTGTTACAAAGACGTAGATGAATATTAAATAAAAGGAATGAATGAACAGAGTTTTTATCTTAGTAGGTATGGACATTTTCTTCCAGAATTTTATTGAAACTGTAGAATCGAGGGGGAGCATTTTGAAAATTGTTCACATAACAACATCCCAAAAGCTCTTCTGGTCAAATATATTGAACTCTTTTAATGTTTTTTATTTCCTTCCTGAATTGTTATATAAAATTGCTTTATGTCAAATGCACATTTTAAATGGGTCCTTTTCAAACACCTCATTCACTAAAATTCCAGTTTCATGTGTCTTCAAACTTAAACATTGCATGTATGACAAATTTAGCCACTTACTGAATTGCATTTGCGTTTAGGGAACCTTCTACTGATTCTGTCATAGTAAATACGAAATTTGTACCGAAACAAATGAAGAAATAAACCAGGGAATACGTAAGGGAAAAATTTTTTCACCTCTGTAAAAAGGCCGTTACATGATTTATAGATCTACAATTTCTCCGTACGAAACAAAAACGAAAACAATTTAATTTAAAAAGACGTTTAATGATTTTAATCGTAATGAATACACTCGAACATGAAAAATTTTGATTGTTTTTTTAAATTGTTAAAATAATTATTTATAATCCTCAACCAATGAATGATCCAAGGACCGGAAGTTTGTGTTCATGTTGTTCAGCCCCCTGAATCTGAGCCCGGATGTCGTCACGAAGATCGGCCGGAAGTACGTAGACGTTATACCTCTTTACAGGTTTACCGGTCCTATCAATGAGAATTTTCTCAAAATTCCAGCGGATATCGTGAACTTTATTCCCTTGGTAGGTCAGTCCGGGATAAAACAGTTCATCTGTAGGTTCACAGTATTTCTAAAAAAAATGTATTATTATATACCGGTAATTTATTCTTTATTGAATTGAAATAAAAGTTATCCTCTTGTACATCTTGAGTATTTTGTTATATTCATGTAGGTACATTTCAAGGCCACACTAAAAATATTCCATATCTCTAGTGAACTTTTTTGACGACGATGAGAAAGTGTTAAATTTATTAAATATGTTATATACATGTATGTAAAATATGAATTCCAAATTCCAGAATATCATGATAAAAAGGGTCCTCATGTAGACAAGACAAACCTAAAATGTTTCGGTGAATAAAGAAACGGAAGTTATCAGGCTTTTAGAATCTAGGAAATTTACACAATGATAAATTCCCTTACTTTTAGGTAAGTAAACATCTTATGTTCATGGATACCATTGACTTCTGTTTTAGCGGTGAGAGGGAAAGCCGGGATAAACCCATTTCCGGGTCTGACATATTTCAGTCCATTCATGATCTCGGTTCCATTTGCACCGGGCTCCTCCTGTAAATCAAACAATGACTTTCAAAACACAGTCAAACAAACAGATTGTCATTTACAATGTAAGACATTAACATCTCTTTAAGCATCAAAAATTGAACAGATGCAATATTTAAATGGATTCTTGCAAGTTAGTAACAGAAAAACAAGCATACAAACAACACACTTATTTATCTAAAATTAAATTACTTGTCAAACGACATATTATGGCACGCCGATTGGTTCAAAATTATTTTCTGCACGACCTTAAACAAAAATTACACGAGTAAGTAAAAACTTACACAAAGTGAGAAATGTATACACAAAGTTATTGAAATTTACACAAACTACAGAAAAACTACACAATCAACAAAATATTTACACGATATAGTGAAAAAATTACACAAACGTAAAAACGAAAACTGCACGAGTGAGAATACAACATCGACATAATATACGACGCATCCTCATTGCGCACATTTCATTAATATTCATTAGAGAACAGCTCAGGGTGGCTTGAATGCTTGAAACATGTGTACCTATAAATTTATCCTAAAGGATTAGTAATGTGTTAGTAATATTTATTTAATCTTTTTAAAAAGGATTCAGTCTTTTGGAATTCCGACTCTCAACAATATGTACAATGTGTTTTAATAATTTATACATGTATAAATTTACACACAATCTTAAGTATGGAATATGAACACCCCCGATTAAAAAACATTCTACACATGTATAAATAACGTAAAAGGGATGCACATTACCAGTTGTTTGTTTAATTGTTAGATTTTTAAATTGTGTCATTCCTCTATCATTGTCTATATAGCAATTTCTTTTGAAAGTGTAAAATATTGATACAGTAAAGGTCTTCATAAAAATTAATAAAAACAGCATGTGATGTAATACAAGACAGTTAACAACAAATCAAACTCTTCTCCTCCACCACCCACTGTGAGTACGTCTGTAATAATTAAGGATGTGGATGCGTGACCTTTTCATATAGAGAGAACCCTCCCTGCTGGTGATGGAATGAAAGACACCTGCACGCTAATCGATTTATAGTTATTTGACACATCAATAATACCTTTTGATTAAGGATTACTAGCAATTCATACAGAGATTTTGAAGCATTGTTGCGATCATCTGGGTTGTGGAATTTGACAGAAAACTTTTTGGAAATAAACAGTAAAAAATAAAAATAAGGCAAATATTTGCGCAACTTTAAGTTTTATATTGAAACGATCGAATATAATTATTAATTTTTTTATATAACTATGTATGTGACAAAGTAGAACATGCAGTCTTTAATTTTGAACAATGTGTAGTGATTTCATAAATATCCATGTAAATGTAGAAAATTGTATGTAAATTGTAGTCGTTTTAGTTATGTGAATTTAAGCTTAATATATTATGTTTTTATCGAGTTTGCTTTGAATAGGTAAAATGCATATAAAGGAGTTAAAACAATTAAAAATTATAATATACAGACACATATAATATCGGTAAAGCATCGCTTTTGATAGTGGGGAGGGGGTTAGAATTTTTTTTGACAAATTACCTGAAAAGCCTAATTGCATGACAAGCGAAAAAAAAGGCGGGGGGGGGGTGTCCAAACTCGAAAATCCTATTTCGTTGAGGTAGTGAGGCACCTTCAATATTCCACCTTCTTTTCGAAACACATAAGCATATATTACTTAGATTTAAACTACCAAACAAAAAAGGGGATGAGGCTTTTCAGTGGATATTTACGATAGAAAAAGGTTATGTATGCCAAAGAAAAGAAAACGTAAAGGGGGAGGGACATGCCCCTCCTGATGCTATTGGCTGAAATATTTTTCTTTGAATTTAAGCGTACATGAAGTATTCGATCGAAACCAGGATTGCAATTCAACCTAAAACTATAACGATAAATATTGTAATTAACCGTCCATATCCTGGAATTTGCGCTCGACCTAACAACATTTAAAAATTGAAGGTTAGGGGGTCAACCAGCATATAAGGAAAATTTACTGTTGCAAAGTCTATAATACTCAGAAAAAAGTAGGGTGGAGGGGGGACTTCTACAGGCCCGTTTGCCGATTAATTTCATTTTATGATTATACAGTCATGTTCTTGTTATAGATTTGGGCCATAGGCCATAGATTTGGATTGAAAAGTGTTATTACAAAAAAATTAAATTTAGTGTTTGGGAAATAATAAATTATTAAAATTTTGTGAATACGAATTCTAAATGTAAAGAGAATTTGTTGTCTTTGAAAATATTTGCAAAAATTGTGCTCTATTTGGAACATGATTTATTTGCATTTTTCAAGAATGATAAAACAAGTTCTATATTCTTTCCATTTATTATCAAACTGCAGTATCCATTCCCATTTTATTTATGTGTAACATTGTATGTAGATGTATTTAGTAATTATGTTCCCCAAACGAAGTTGGGGAACATATTGTTTTTACTCTGTTTCTTATTATTATGTCGCCCCGAACGAAGTCGGGGACGACATATTGATATTGTACGCATGTTTTTTTTATCCAGGCTGTTTCTCGGAGACGGCTGGGGCAATCTTCCTGAAACTTTCCTCAAAGAACGATCACTGGTTGTAGTTGTGCAGTGAGGTCGTTCAGTTCCAATATGTCTACCGTTGCCATGGAAACCTGTAAAAAGCGACGAATTTTGTCCGAGAGTGTTCTCTCTGGTCCCTTAAACGTTCGTAATGAAACTCTTTTTATTTTAATGATTAGTATCTGTAGTTGTGCGCCTTGCATTTAAAATTTTCAAATACTCGATTATTGCCATGGAAACCAGGGGAATGTTAAAATTCTTTAATTTCGATTTTCTCAATAACTACTCAAGCAATCGTTTTGAAACTTTCAATGTTAATTCCTTGCAATGTGTCAAAGTGATTTTTACTTTTAAAATAATTGTAATGAGTCGCTCACAGTTGTCATAGAAACGAAACAGAAAAAAGGTTAAGATGTACACATGTGTTCTCCAAGGTCTAGGTCAAAGGGTCAAAGTTCTTCGTGTCCAATAAAAGTTCTTTTCACAAGGATTACATATTTGAAATACGAAAGCCCTAGCCCTTACCGTTCAAACGTAAGGTACTATGTTCAAGACGACCCCCCCCCCTTTTGAAGCGCATTGCCACTTAGAATACACATATCTAACATATACAACTTACAAGTAACGTTTTAAAAGTTTCATTCATAAAATTCAGTTCTCCTGATGTGATTTCATAGTTTGCCAACCTTCATTCTTCTTCTGTCTTGTCTCTAGATTTTATAATTATTTTATTTTATCTATATATAAAATAACGATTGTCAACTGCATTTATTAGCATTTCGCATTTTTTTGTATATCTATAACTTGTATATTATTAATTTCATTAGATAGTGCAGGTATAAATTAGAAAATTGGTACGTTATTTCCATAGTTTTTATTCATTCATAAATCCTATGATCCGCTCCTACAAGTGCGCTAAGCCTTGATCACTACTGTAAACAAAACATTCATCTCGCCGAAAATGTTCACGATTCCGCTAAACTGAGAAAGTTTACACATGATTTATCATCTCATAAGAAACATCAGCCCTGTACAATGCAGAAATGCTCGAATTGAAGGTGGCATGTCAGATTCGTTTTCCGGCAGAACCTCTAAAAATGAAAGTGAAATTTCAGAGTTCTAACTGGCGTTATAATACACAAAATAATTCGGCTGATCTTCTTAAAAAATTACATTTGCCAAGCTTTTTTGGTAGTTAAGATACTGCCAATTAACAAGTATGAGGCTCAGTTCAGTACATCTGCCCAATTTCTTTTATGCAAGTCTGCAAATTTAGGAACTTGTAATTTTTTCCTGCACTACTTTCTTCTCCTACCGATTCTAAAAATAAAATGGGATGTACCCAATTAAGGTCTTCCGTTTCCAACGGAAAGGACTGATACGACTCGATGGTTGTCCAAGCTTAGCTAATGGACCATTGTTTTAGTGATGATAAAAATGAATGTCTTGTCCAGTACGGGGCGACATTTGCTATTGCTTGCAATAGCAGACTTTCTAGTTATGTTCCCCAAACGAAGTTGGGGAACATATTGTTTTTACTCTGTTTCTTATTATGTTCCCCAAACGAAGTTGGGGAACATATTGTTTTTACTCTGTTTCTTATTATTATTATTCTTATTATTATTATTTTTCTTCCTGGGAAAATTTTGTCCGCGAGTAATCTTGTAAACTACACATCCGACTTAGGTGAAACCTTTTTAGGGTAAGTAGGCATGTTATGTAGATTTGCGGAATCAAGGTCATTTTGCGCGCACGTGCTTGCAAGAGCGCGCACGTGCAAAACTTGAAATGACCAATAAATAATGGATATAACAGTAACTTTTCTATTTTTAGACGAAATGTTTTGAAACTCATAATGTAAGGATATATGAGTAGTATGCACAAGATGACATGGTCAAAATAGCAAGATCGCACGTGCAAGCACGTGCGCTTCGCTCTGATTGGCTGAAACTAAAGTCTCAATATCTTTCTTGTTTTTTGATAAAATCATTTGAAATTTTGAACATAGTCATAACCATTAGGGAGATCTAAAGCCCGTAATAAAAAAATATCATGAAAGCATGTGCATGCACGTGTGCTTGCAAGAGCTCGCACGTGCAACACGAGAAATGTCCAATATAGTTGATACAGACGTAACTATTTAAATTATTGATGATATGCTTTAAAACTACTATTAGAAGTATATATAAGAAGCATAGACAAGATGACATGGTCAAAAAAGCAAGATCTCACGTGCATGCACGTGCGCTTCGCTCTGATTGGCTGAAACTAATGTCTCCATATCTTTCTTGTTTTTTGACGAAATCCTTTGAAATTTTAAACATAGGCATGTATTAGGATATCCTACAATAAGATATATAGCAATTATCATGAAAACGCGTGCATGCACGTGTGCTGCAATCTGATTGGCTTATGCTTTAAATAGCTATAACTCCCTTGGTTTTCAACCAAACAGGATGGAATT